AAGTGATAATATGTACTAGTAGTAGTAGTGGGCGCGGCAGGGTCGAAAGTATGTAGCCGACTGATTTGGTAGGAAAGGATAGCCGATCGTAGTGTATGTAACGTTGTATGTAGTACTCCGTACTAGTAGACGAACAAAGGGTCGAGGTATGGGGAGCGGAATTCTCTTGATAAGGAGGTATTGTTAAATGTAAGGAAGGTGGCGGTTCACAGCCGAGGAGACGATGATAAGAATGGGGAAGGGAAAGGGAAGGGAGAGCATAAGCATGTTGGGAAAGGCCAACCACAAGGAACTTTTTCGATGTCCGTCCGTGGTTCTCCGTACGGCAGTGTATTGGCAGGCCCGGGATTACCAACGCAGGCGCGGGTGACGGATGCAGGCTCAAAGGGGTGTGGCTGTGGGGTAGCCCAGTGGAGCTTCGACTGGGCTTTCCACCAATCATCACTTCCCGCTGACGATTTTCAATTGCTCACTTGACACTCGACAACCGGAGAGCATCTGTAATACCATTACGCTCACTCTAAGTTCGTGTTAACAGAGTTAAAGTTCAATGAAATTCATACTAAATTATTTGACTTCCAGCCCGAACCCTCCGCATTTATTTGGTCATTGTTCTTCATGTGTGTGTGCGTCTGTTTATTGGGAAGAATTAACATATATGAAGCATGAAACTTAGGGATATTAAATTTCAGGGATTATCCCGTGCCTAGCACTGGCGAAGGACTAGCCACAGGTATATCGCCAGCGAGAGTCGTTGAACGGTCAGTGATTGGTTTTTGTTCGCAGGAGGAGACTAGCAGGGAATAATTCCATCGCAGCAGCGAACAGGGGGAAAAGCCCAGAAGCAACGTATCCTTGAGATTTAGACTCAAAAATCCTTCACGCCGTCGTCCACTCATAGTAGACCGTCAGATGCAACGCTCTTATCCTTTGAGGCTAAATAAGACATTCATCCATCATTCTCTTTATCAAATCTAGCAACCTACCACCACGGTTTGAGAGTCCGAGACAATAGTACTCCGTATGCTTTCTCGCCGAATAAACCCTACCTTTAAAACCAGAGAGTACCCAAGTGGGCTGCATAGTGTATTAATGATCTCCCCGTCATCGCCGATCGTCATGGCTCCGAACCAGAGAGAAGCTTCATTCCCTTCGAACAAGTCAGCAACGAAGATCCCTAGTTCGATCAACCAGCTTTGATTCAGTCATTGACGTTAACTCCCCGCAATCCCGGGCCTACCCTCAACCACTGAGAACCCGATATCAAAATCAGAGCCGTAGAACAAGAGTTCCGGAGCGCGGTGTTCTCACCCTGAAAACCCTAATCACATTATCACTTAGAACCAAAAACAAAGAAAGGAAGGATAAAATACCGGGTAACAAGCCGCTCTCTTATTACCGATGGCCTGGGCTTCTCCGCATCCCTCACCACGGTTGAGGACACCCGTAGAATTGGCTTGGAACCGCCGGTTTTTATTCGGGTTGAAGCATCCGCGGTCTTCCTTACGTCTCACTGACGAGTCCAAGAACACCGAACCAGAGTTCAACCTCTCAAGCCACCCGCCGAAAATATACCGGGAACTTTTTGAATTCAAAAAGCCATGCGAACTCACTAGGGCTCAGTTTAGTTTAACTCTTAAACCAAGCCCTCCAGTCAGATCTCGAAGGGCGTTGATCCTCGTAACCAACATCCGTGTCATGCCATTTCCCCATCCGTTCATAACTGGAGAAAAACGCGGGGATTCCCAGGAAACTTTGCACCGGCTTAGTCTCTGCCATTGCGATTGATTGGAATTTTAAGAATCGCCTTGGTTCGGGATCTTATGCGTGTTTTTGTTCCGTTCGTACATAGTTAGCTTCCCGATATAGTAGGTACACACTACGGTAACTACGGTTAGCATTCACTGGGAAGATGAATGGCTACAACTGTGGAGAATGACTGATTGCAAAGGTCCCTAAGATAAAATGTCACAGTTGGCCGGTTCACGAATGAGCTTTTAGGCCATTATGTTCACAATTTTCAGACAGTCAAGGGCCTGTTCGGAGAATCAATCCTTTTGGAGTAGAATCCGAGAGTTCCCCGAGAAAACTGCAGTGTGGACCTAGGGCTTCCAAAAGGGGATTGCTCTCAATTTATTTTTTCTTTTTTTCGTTTTAGATCTGCTCGATTTAATTTGAAGGACCTCAAACTATTACGGGTCCGGGGATGACGGAGCCACCAGAGGACCGAGTGGCCAATTGTAGTCATGAATCGAGGGATTGTTTCTCAACAAATTCCTGATGCACTATTATTATCGCTGCCGCAGTAGACGAAAGATTCAAGCCATCGTACATACCTGATACAATGATTTCGTACAATGGGTATAGAGCCCTGCATATACTAGTTGACGCTAAAGCATTTTTAGTCTCAAAATAAGGCGGATTACGCTTTCATGGTCAAGGCTCTTGATTCAGGCTGGCTCTCCAGTCAACTCGAAGAAATCCATGGTCATAGAGATATACTACATACATCTGGTTGACGCACTATTGGCTCATGCTACCCATGAAACTGGTACACGGGTACATACACCACATGGCGACTGGGAAAGAAGGTCCCCATCAAGAGCCAAATGAGAAGAACCCCCTGGGGCTAAGGGCATCAGCGGAATTCTGGAAAGACTGGTCCGCATCACGTCATAGAATTTCATAAAGGCAGCTCAAAAGGAATTTCGCCTCTGGCCCGCTGACACACGATCTCGACCCTTAGGTAGCCATGAACTTGGGACTCCACCAACTTTTTCTGTTGCCTTACCCCAACTGGGGTTTCCCCACAATCCACGTTCATTTTAATTGAATGATCGACCTTCCGTAGTGGATAATGCGAAACTCAAACAGGTCCCGGTTTCGGTATGGATTAAACGATGCTAACAGTGCTCGATACTGTGTAGCAACGTAGCGAAATTAATGACTCCAAGCACAGTGGCGGATTGGGTGAAATGGCCTTGTATCTTCAAGGCATATACATGGATTGATGATCACGAGAAATCCTCTTCGACATCATCGGACTGTTGCTGGGTGAGATACGCGGTGACCGCCTCACTCGCCATCAGATCCTGTCTCTGTGTGGATGATGGTCAGTGTCCGCCCAATGTGGCCCACCGAGCTAACTAGATTACATCACTTACCTGCTGGGCCAAGTCCTCGATTCCTTTCTCCAATAGCTTCCCCTCCAACTCACGCAGGCTGTTAATTGTACTATACACCTCAGGCCTGAAGAGAGCAAGCATATCCTCATTGTGATTGATCTCTTCAACCATGATCTGAGTTTCTCGGAGGATGAGGAAATGAGATTCTAGTCGATCCAGTACAGTCACCACTGCTCGAAGCTGGAAGATATCCCAGAGAGGGTCCTTTATCAAGAAGGCTTTAAGGTCATCGGAATCTCTGATCTCCTCACCTTTCCAACTGACCTTGAGTTCTCTACCCCCATCATTGGTTTGTAATACTTCAAATTCAAGCCCGTCTTCTTGGTTCACGCAAAGCCACCAGACAAACGGACTATCCCAATTAGTGCTGCCCCTTTCCGCCGTAGGAGAATCAAATAACCGAAGTCCAGGTGGTGCCTTGCAAACTCGTTTCTTGGCCATGATCAATGGATCGTCTTCGGGAATATCAAGATTGAGATATATCTGCTTTGCGCCGTTTCGCTCTTGATCGAGGAACCCATATGAGAATATCATCTCCGATGCTGGTTTGTCGTCCCCGTACCTGTGAATCACCATCACCATGAGGCGTGCTTCTGCGAGGAGAGTTAACATCAAAACTCACGATATAGTAACTTCCTCATCGGCATGAAGTTTCCGCCCCGATCGTAGCTGAAGCACCGCATTGCCTTCTGTGTCTTCGTCGTATAAAGCTTTCACAATATCCTCAGATGCATGGTTAGCCATGTCAATGCATGGAACCATTGCATGGCCAGAGCTTGGCAAGTCCACCATACGCGATCGGTACATGGCATCGACGTATTTCCAGTCATCCAACGTGAACTTCCCTGTATCCTCATCCCACCAATGCTTGCGACACCAAGATATGCTCTCAGTTGATTGGCGTAAGAGTTCGAATTCATTCTCAAGTGAGGCGATCTTTGCATCCACCGCCAATTTCAGAGATGTCCCCTGCAGAAGCTCCCGCTCCTCCCCCGTGTAGAATGTAGGTAGTATTATTGAAGACGGTAAATACCGTATATATTCAGTCCAAGGGTTGGACACCCCAATGCGATGGTGCTCATCCGCGAAATCCGGACTAGAATATGTGATCTGGAGGATTAAGAAGATCAAAATCGCACCCCTAGCTGTCTGCTCATATCAGCCCATGTCCTCAACACAAAACTCTCATTAATCTCCCAGCCAATTCCCCACACTTAGCTAAAAGACAGACATGGACATACTCTTCCGAAATCGCCGACGGCATCTAGTACCTCGCGCAGATACCGATCAGACTTGGCGTGGTTTTCAACCAACCTGAGCGACAGAATCAAGTCAGAGGGAACCCGAAGGAGGGCCTGTGCATCTGCTTCTCCAGTCTCTGAGCTCTGATTGCCCTTCTCTCCTGTCGCAACTATCGCGCATCCCTTGTCTATGCCTTCTTCGGTTCTCAACTTGCGGAACGTGACCCCATCGACGGAGATGCCATTGAGTCTCGTCCAAGCAGAGAGTGTCTCGATGGGAAGGTATTCGCGTTTCATATTCCCTCTGGTTCGTAATTTATCACCGATAGACGTGTATTCATACGCTTGGAAGGGTATCTGAGTCCACTCGAGGTCCCCACCACAAGTTACTACTTCCTTATCGATAAGAAAAGCGGTCTCAAATTGGAGCCCTAAGCCCTGGTTTCCTGAAGCTAGTGGCTAATAGGACGATTGCAGCATGTAGACGTCATAAGACCGGGGTCTAGGTGAAGCACTCTAAAACCAGGCCAAACAACATGTAGACTCTCCATTTGTTAAAATATATATTCTTCGCAGGTATATGTGCCATATATAAGAATATTGCTTTTGTACAACATAATTTTCTTGAGAAGCCCAATCCCAGTCATAAATCATAAACCCAAGATGCCGAACAGCTCAAAACTCCCTACTCCAGCTTCAAAGCTGCATCATCTGCTCACGCCACGGCCGCCACGTCTCTGCTTACTTCCGCTTTGTTCCGTGTGGCAGCCAGCGGCGTTCCACACGCCCGGAAGTGTGCGGGTTCGCCTCAACAGTGGCATAACGCAAGATTGGAAAGGAACATCAACAGAAGATCATGCTGTGGACCGAAGCAAGAAGGGTGATAACACTGATCCAGCTGTTGAAGGGGCTTCTTCTGGTTTGAAGGACAGGGAAGAATATGAGGGAGTAGCCCGAAGTGATAAGCCTCAGGCAGCAACGGAGAGAGAAGGGTTAAAGCATTGGAAGAAGGCTAAGGAGGAGCATCCTAAGGCACCTGAACCGATCATCGGAATGAATGATGAAAGAGCTCAGGTATGTTTTCAAACCTTTACGCTCGTAGAAATAAGCTAGGACATTCCTGGGATAAAAGTTGATACCCCCCACCAAGACCAGGCGACTGACTATTGATATCGTTCACAGAAGGGTCATTGATCTGTAAGTTGGGTTGCTTTTCTGCTTCATTCAATTCGGCTATGTACTTTTGACAGCCGCCATAAGCGTTGTATTGTTCGTTCCCACACATATCAACTGTACATAAATTGAATAATGAGATCTATCGACCAGGCTTGAAGGATAGTACCTAAAAATGAGGGATGCGGGTTAGCGAGCGGTATTGGCATAATTGTTGAGAAGTTAGCACCTACATCATGTTTTCCTACTTGCACAATTTCATCTTCTGAGACGCGGATACCACCAACGCCCTCGATGTAGGAGATCGGTATATCGCCCATGACCTTTTGAGCAACATCTCCAACCGTAGTGCCCCTACTCGGTGTCAGATGGATTAATGGGGTGGGGTATTTGCAATCTGCATTACTTACTTCTTAACCAGGACACAATCGCGGAACGCTGCATCGCTTCCGGCTCCTGATGCGAAAGTGTGTACGTTCCTTACTGGGAAGACTGGTACCAGACCCAGGAGCTCTGCGGCACGCGAAAGACATTGCACAACTCCAGTTGAGCCAAAACGATAAAGTACCATGTCTTTCAAATTTTCGACACGGCTAATGTGATGTTCAGGTTAGCAAGGCGGATGTTGCGCAAATACAAGAGTGACCTACGTCTTCAACTTCTCATCCATCTCCTTTAAGCCACCGCCATCCGGTTCTCCCATCTCTATGAGGTCTTCTCGCGTATCTAGAAATTCGCTTCCTTCGACGTATTTGATGTAATTTTGTTTCGCTAACCTCCGAAGGAACACTTCTGATATTGCGGAGCAGAGGACAATGGACTGAGGGTCCTGCATTTTGGCGATTTTGCTGATATTCTAAAACCACTCTTGTCAGCGTCGATCAAAAGCCAAACGGGAGTGCTGACAAACCTTGTCTGCGTCGGGATGATCGATTTTATTTAACGCATAGACCGTGGGGAATTTTTCATCGATAAAAGCTTTGACAACCTTCTCAACAGTCTCATCAGACCAGTCTTCAAGTGGCTCCTTCAAGCCTATCCGATCTAAGCAGCGTGCAACAATCGTTGACGTACTTCCATAGCCGGAGAACTGCCCCTGTAAGGTGTCCACGGCCGTCGCCTCTATTTTAAGTGTCAGTATACAAGAAAGCGCCAAGGAATTACTGTCGACTGACTTATGGCCATATGTCTCCTCTTGATGGATCCCCTATAAGAATCATCAGCACTGACAGCGTAGGTTCAGAAGTGTGTTGGTTTACCATCTTTGCATCAAGTTTCCCAAGACCCAGCGCACAATCTCGGAATGTAACCATTCAATATCTTGTGAAGGATCGTAACCTCGAGTTGCTTTCCCTGAAATGCGCATAGGCCTGTTAGCCAATACTTCTTCTTGCGCTTGCGAAACCGCGACATATCCTGACCTTCTGCGTCCGTGGTTCCACTAACATCAACCACGTGGATCAAGGCATCCGCATGACGCAAATCATCCAAGAACTTGTTACCCAACCCTCGACCTTGATGCGCGCCTGGAACGAGACCTGCAACGTCCAAGAGCTCAATGGGGACAGAGCGTCTTCCTTCTATACAGCCTCCATAATTCGGTTTGCACTTATCCGACACACCGTATCGCTGGCATGCACATTCTATTTGGAGGTAGCCAATGGCGCGCTGAGGATCGATTGTAGTGAAACTGAATATCGCAGATTAGACGTCTTGGTACAACGAGATTTGTATTATTGGGGTTTGCGTAAATTGTAATGGAGCGATATGACGGAGTCGCATTCTGGTTTTACTTACGGGAAGTTCCCTACATATAGAAAATGTCCCGGTCAATGCACATATACTTTGGCTACACAGCTAACAAAGATAACCTTACCAACTTTCGAAGTAGCGTCTGTCAAACTATTCAGCGTTGTCGATTTTCCACTGGATGGCTACATGCCCCTCAGTTCAGTCAGCGGCGTATCTTCCGAGATAACGAAGAGTAGCAGACCTTTCCAACCAACCCAATCAATGGATCCCTAGGCATACTAGCAGATATCTGAGTAACAGAACGTACAATTAAGAAACACAACGGCAGAATAAGAGTCTATTCCTGTCTAACAACATGTAACCAAAAAAATCATTTCGCTGGTTAGCGGGGAATTGGTGGTCAGTTCCGGCGTCTTGTAACGGAAGGCGGTCTACCTTGAACCCTTTATGTCCTAAGGCAGGCTAGCGTCACTGTTCTGGGTATAGCGCGTTGAAACCGTTTACTGATTTCCCTCTACCAATCTTAAACATTTATCATACATGTGAATAGTGCTTGCTCTCAACTACCTTGTGGTACTTCATGTACTACTGGACAATGGAACACAGCATGTGGTGGCATATGCAGCTCATTTAAGAAAATACACCGTATCCAAAGATTGATCCAAGGGCGCATTTGCAACATATATAAGTATATTTATTTACTGTGGTGGTTCTATATCAACGAAGCCATATGTAGTACTCGCAAGTCGTGGTCGTTAATCGACAGTACTCTCTAAATAAATAGTAGCGCAATCACTCTTTGATTTAAGGATCTTAGGCTGACTATAATTGTAAGAGAGACCCTTCAAAATACTCAATAAGCAGTTGGTACACACTACTAAGACCCCTTTACTCTTCAGCCATCCTGCTGCATCTCTTTATCCCTCAAACGACAACACATCATGAACCCCATATCTATATTTTATTGCTCCAAGAGGTCCTCAGACAGCAACGTAAGACCAAGTCCAAATTAGAAAATGTGGTACGAGTACTTGATGTTCAGCCACTCAGTGCTGAATGGGTTGAAGCCATTGGGAACTCCACCTGGATGATCAGGTGTTACAGGAGTTTCAAGAATATGGCAGCTCCGAAGGGAGCACACGTAACACTTCAACAACCGAAGCAATGAAACAAGAGATGAAGCCCGTATTTAAGTCTGTTCATTTGTCGCTCCTCGAAGTCCTGGGAAGCTTCAATCTGCACATCTATATTACCACCACTGAACTACAAGCGGATCTTCAGAGACCTACCTTGTCTATTTTGGAGTACATACTAATCTGTGAGCCTTACATTTACCAGCCGAAATTACTATAATTCGCTGATATGGAGGCAAGGTTAGCCGATTTCGCCATGCATCCAATTCTACTCTCGCTTTTCTTTAGCACCCTAGCTGCTACTGTGGTAATTGGTAACGAATACCCTGTGCATCGTCATGGATAATGTGCTTATTGTAGCTAGACAATACCGTACCGGCCAACCAGATGGGAAGCCCAACCGGAACAGATCTCATGCCTTCACAAGGAGACTGCTTCTGGAGCGGAACTGCACCCTTCTGTGCGGGAAGTTGTGAAAAGGCTACTCACTGGGAGTGCGGTATGTCAAGTTGTGGTGATGATACATGCTGCTGGGTAGGCATCAAGAGATATTGTTGCTACAAGTCCGCATCTCCGAGCGGTTGTCCAACTGGTGGATCAACAACTATCGTATTTTAGATGTTCTGGGTATATTCACGGGCGATCTACAATTTGTGTACTAGCTCATGCTGCCAATAAGCGATGTAGGCTTGAAAATCTAATCTGGGCCAAGAGAAATTTGTCAATCTTAGCCCTTTTAGACTGTGTCGATATGTGAGTCTCCATATATGACTTTTGTGTCCTGTAGCAGCCAGACGAGTCTATTCTCAACATAATCTGTGGTATACGCAGAACTGCCCGTGAGCAGTTCGGGTTGAATCATTACTCATCTGTATCTAGAATGAACCGCGGAAGTCTCGCTATACTACGTTTACCTTTTCTTTAGTCCTCCAGAGGTCACTGCTTTCCAGATCCAACTCAGGTGTATGCATTATGCTTAATGATTTCATATGGGAAAAGCTTTGATATTCTGTGTAGAAAGATCTAGATGTTTTACCCCTGTTTCACCATATTAGCGGAGATACAATCATGTACATAGTATGGATACAAAGAAATGCGTCATAGAAGTCCATATATACTGGATGAGTGATGAAAGAGACCCATCGGAGTATTCTTTGGATTAGAGAAGGTCGGACACACGATGACCTGCCATTCTAGGCCTAGGCTTACTACCATAAAATTTCAAAAATAGAATTCATTGAGTTTACGAATCATTCTCCAATAACAACCTTCCAGGTTACATCGTATGAAGTCAGGGCGCATCCAGTGACGATGGCCAAAGGTACAATTGTGAAGCCACCAAGAGCGCATTGATTCGATTGGATCATAGAATACTCAAATTATGTATTCGAGTCCCAGGGTTCGGGGTTTCTCCGCCGTACTGTTCCCAGTGTGGGTTTTGCTTCATCCAGAACCTGGACATCGGCTATGTCGTCATAGGTGTAACAACGTCACCAGCCTTCGCATCATACTCCCAACAACAAGCATATAAGTAACCGGAGATCCTCTGGTAAATGAAATTCTCTTAATCAGAATCAGAATCAGAATACTCTCTTAATTACATTTTCAATCAACCAACTTCAATCCCATCTCGACCAAAACAATTTCCTATACTACTTCATACAAAATGTCCGACCAGACCTTCCACACCACCACTCAGGATATTCGCAAGCCTGAGTCCAAGATCTCCCAAGCCCACCAGGGAAACACCCCCAAGAACTCAGATGTCTCGGCTATGAAGGTAAGTCGGGAATTCAGAGGTGATCATGTTGCGAACCTCGACTAATCGCTCTATAGTCCCTCCTTGGCGAGAACACCGACAAGAAGCAGCAGATTGAACAGACCAAGTCCAACCTGCCTCTACCTGATCAGCCACCAGTCGCTAGCGACTGGAACTCCTTAGACCAGAGGACCGTCAACGTTGGCTCTGGCCGCCACGAGGGACCTGTGTCTGGAGAGGGCAACAGCGCTCTGAGAGAGCCCGCAACCGCCAGCAGCAGTGTCCGTGTAGATGGAGCAGAGTTGCACAAGCAAACTCAGCCTCTGGGCAATGTTGGGCGCCAGGGGAAGGACAATCTAAGTGATCTTCCCAAGGATGCTCTGGCACGGTAATTTATGATTTTAGGAGTTTGATGGATACCGGACGTGGTCTATGGGCTTTATACATCATGAGCGCAATTATCTTTGTATTTTAGTAGCTATTCATGCATAACAACACATGAAAAGTATTTACTCGGATGAATTTTGTTATTCTTCTTTCCGTAAATATCAAAATCGTAGTGGTGTACTCCCAGGATTGCTCATAAATGTCAACTAGCCTGGCTGAACTTTGAACAAACTTTGTAGATATTGCTATACCACGGCATGGCTCGGATATCTCTTTGTTTAGGCTCTCTTACACTTAAATCGACGCATCACAGTTACATAAATTATTTACTTTTGAAAGTTGATACTTTGTAAAGATCACATGACCCATAGATGTCACTTTGTGAATCGGGTTAATCAAAAAGTTTAAAGGAAGTTCTATTTCAACCACCCAACATTCATGATTGCGAAACTGATGTATCAGATCGTCAATCACTTTTCTCTCATGATTTGAAACATAAGCAGTTGCGCTGCTATTGTCTCGGGATATGATGGTATCATGCCCCTTCGTTGCAACATAGGTTGGTGGCAGTGACGATGACGTCACTGCATCATGTTGCTACGCCATCGTCCGGTAATATTGTTCCCACAGGGATGGCATTCATCCAGCATTCGTTAACGCAATCGAGACGACCACGGAAGCCACACCAAACTCGGTAGTAGGGTATGTGGAGAGCCGACCTTGTCCGGCTACACGATACCATAGGCGGTAGGAGGGCCATCCGACGGGATTCTGGACACTACGATCCCGGACAAAGTGGGCTCTTTCTTTCTTGTCATCGAGCTAGATCGCCACTAAAGGGGTCTCAATATTCGGGATCTGTGCTCCTTGACGTACCTGTTGGGCCGTCCGCTGAGGGCTCGGATAGGGTGGACTTGACCGTCAGAATGACATCATCCAGGTCGATGATCTGGATATCATAGTTGATGGCAGGAGATTCCAATCTTATATAGCATTGCTATCGTACTGCTCAGCCTGTCTAAATCAGATCATTCGAAACAGAGATCTCCGATACTACGATTCCCAACAGTTCAAACTACTTCCAGTTCCCATCTACAGCTCTCGAACTTATTCGCATTTTTCACATACATCTATCATCATGGATCTTCAAGGACAGCCCATCGGTCAAGGCCCTCGCAGCACCAAGGTAAGTTTACAAGCTCAGAATATATGCGTGAAACTCTGGCTAACGGCTCCCAGGTCACCACTGATCCTGAAGCCTACCGCAACCCCATCCAGGAATCCTCTGGACCTGTGTCCGGGGACTCTCTCGCTGCCGAATCTGCCACCAAGGGTGGCGTCTACTCTCAAAACCGTGGTGCCCAACCTCTCGGGGTGACTGGCCAGCAGTCTACCCTGAACACCAAGGACACATCCGCTGCCTCCGAGCTGCCATCAGCTCCAGTCGGTGCTGCTCGAGAGAACCTCAACAGACAGGAGAAGTACCCCGAAGGTCTCGGTGGCCAAGGTGACTTCCCTGGCACCCATCTTCCAACCTCCGGCTACGTTGGTGGCCCTACTGGTTCCAAGCAGCAGCAAGGAACCCAACAGCAGTCCAATGCCTCTCAGAACCAGCAGCGTGGCACAGCCAATGCTAGCGGCAGTGGTTACCAGACCCGGTCCAAGACTGGCGCCGCACCATCATATGCCGAGGATGTGGTCGGTGACTTCAGTAGCAAGAAGCCCCACGGCAAGAACCTGAAAGAGGGCGGTTTCGACGACAGCAACAACGCGAGCTTCACCACCGATATTGGCGGCGAGAACGACCCTGGCCGTCTCGCCACGAAGGGCTTGCAGCATAGGCAGGCAGAATCTGGACCTACCGCCACACCGGCTGGCCGGGAGCAAAAGGGTGTTGACAACCAGCACTGGTACCAGCCTCTGCAGTCTGACCAGCGCGCTTAATTGAATAATGATTATGACGGACAAAATGAAAAGCTCATGAGCGGGTATCCTGTGTTATTTTCATCTTTAGCCTGTAGAAACGGCCATGTATTATAGATAATATGAAAGAAAACAATCATCAAAAACCAGCCTTTCTATCAAACAGTAATAATTGGTCTTTGCATGGAAAGATCAGTATGCTACTTTGCTTTCTTTGTAGGGATCTAATGATTGTGTGTTGGGGTGTCGTCGTGGATGATTCGTTAGTTCCCATACATTGCTGTTGATAGAAACCTGTCTTATGGAATTGACGGGGTGGAAGGGGCCGAGGGTTTGGTTAAGGTGGCTTCTGTAATGATCTTAAAGAAGACAAAAGGGCGTGTATTTGTTTCGAGAGTCTTCGATGTGGGGTTACGGATTTATATGTTCGTGGTGCAGGGTTTATGTATGAGTTTATATGGTCGCTAGCTGTTCCCTGTATGTATGCTAATGAAGAAGCCCTGACATCTACGACAAATATACAGTGGACAAATTTGGACTAGAAGTTCCACTGCTTCACCCAGTTTGCCATCAATTCAGTCGAGATCGGTCTCATCGACTTCATGGTAATGCTCGCCTCCTTTGTCTTTTCCACTTCAATGGGAGCTGACAATGCTCCTTCGCCTTCCACCAGTCCTTGGTAAAAGTTAAGTAGCTTCAATGCGGGCTTCGCCGTAACCTCTGCTGGTGATGGGTTGGTGATGCTCTCCAACTCATTGACCCATTCACACATCTCAATTCGCTGGACATTGTAACGCTCCTGAATCGCGGGCAGAAGGCTTTCCCACGAAGTCGCCGATGGGTTAACTAAGTGGAAGACAGAACAGGCGGGGTCCCTCTGGCTTGTGCTGCGCGTATGAACAAGCTCTGTGATGATAGCAGCAAGTGTGTCCTATCCAGTCGTCAGCTGAGAAGTTCAGGTAGAGAGATTGTATCGCAACTTACCACTGGAGTCCACTCTACTGGCATTGATCCTAAGGTGCGAGGGATCTTGCCCATAGCCTTCGATGTAGCAACGATAAGCGGTAGCCATTCCTGCCTATTCCACATGCCATTTTCTGTCGTTGGACCAGCAATCTGCCCCAGACGTAAAAGCGTTGTTGGTACGCCCGCTTTCTGAGACGCTGCCAGGCAGATACGTTCGCAAATATGCTTTGCTTCGGCATATCCCTGACGCAAAGTCAATTCACAATCCTCCAAGGGTGTTTCAGGAACCGATGGTCCATGGGCGAGGCTCCATCCGCCGATGGTTCCTATAGAAGACATGAAAAAGATGTGGGCATGGTGTATGCTCTGTATACTGAAGTCGATAAAATGACGGACGCCGCGAATGTGGACATCTTCGAATGAATCAACTGAAATGTTGAAATCCATTCTCCAGGCATTGTGGATAACTGTAGTTACTGTACGGAGCATCTCTTCATACTTGGTTCCGCTGAGGCCGAACTTCTCCTCGCCAAAAGATGCTACAAGGAATTCGACTCGTCCTTGACTGAAATCGTACTCTAATCCCTTCTCTTGGAAACTTTTCACCTGTCTATCTCTTGCCTCTGATCGATTCAAGCAGTACACTTTGATGACAGAAGGATCTTTCAATAAGGTATGGAGCAAATAATTCCCAAGCGAACCGGTAGATCCAGTAAGAAGTACGGTGTGTTGATCCGTTGTCTTGCGTGTATTAGCTTCGCGCTCAGGCAGGTCAGCCGTGTATTTCTGCACCAAAGCATCAATCTTTTCAGATCGCGATACCATGCTCTGCTCCGCATTGCTAGTGACGCCGTATATAAACTTGGCCAATTGTTCGACAGTGGGGTTGCCGTATATATTCTGAGCGGTGATAGCCCTAGACTTGGTCGATGGCCGACATGAACATATTGAGCCTTGGAAAGTCCGGCTAAGCTGCATTGTCTGCAAAGAATCGAGCCCCAAATTGTAAAAGTCTGTCTGGTCTGAGAACGAGGAGAATCCAAGAGCGTCTGAAACCACATTTCGGACAAACCCCTGAATTCCAGACAAATCAGCCGACTCTGGTATTTGATATTCCAAAATTTCATCGTCCTGTTTTGTATAAATATCCTCGATCTCCTTCTCATAGTCGCGAGTGACAAGCCGTCGCTGTGTGCTCCCTTTGGGTGTAGTCTGGAACGGTTTGTTTTTAGATGCCACCCCGATCTTGTTCTTCATAATCCGCCCATGGGCTGGGTTGATACGGTTTGCGTCTTGAACTGTATGCCAGATCTGGGCGATCAAGTCCCCAACTGGACTATCTTCACTCCATTGATTCCAATTGGGTTCAACAAGTAGAGCTGGTTGAAATCTTCCATTGCCTACAACAACAGCTCTCGCAACTAAGGCATGCCCCTCGATGATCTTCTCCATCGTCACTGGGTTGAACTTCTCCCCATTACTGAGCGATACAACGTCATCTAGACGTCCACGCAGCTTCCACAGGTTGGGCTTGGTTGGGTGCCGCGTGTACACATCCTTCGTATGATACTCGTTCAAATCAGGGAACGTGTGAAAGATGGGTTGTAGGAATGGATCGTAATGTCTGTGGATGACCATTTCATACAGGTCGTCATCCACTAACTCCATCTCGATCCCATTGGTCGGCCACCATTCAAAATACTCCCAGTCGTCCTTGTCTTCGGGAGCCAAGGACAGTATAAAGCCAGCCTCGGTCATTCCCATAAAGCCCGTCAGCGGGGTGTGCTCTCTGATCTTACGACCGACCTCAGGCGAGAGAGAGGAACCACCCCAAAACACATACTTCAAGTTCCACAGGGCCTCCATAGAGGCTTCCGATAGGGTCATATCCTCTAGGATGCAGGGTGGTAATAGTATCGCCGTGGGCTTGGTTGCATTGAGCATAGAAGTCAAGAAGTCAGTCGATAATGGCTTATCCGGCGCGACCACGCAACGGATACCGTGAAAGACAGATATGATCAGCAACGAGAACCCCATGAGGTGAAAGAATGGCGCCGCGGCCAAGATAACGTCATCTTTGCTGAGTCGATCAGGCACGCCCGAGAAACGTCCTGGAGTGATAGGAACATAGGCACCAGCATCCAGAGCACCAAAGTAGCCGAAAGTCAGTTGGATAGGTTTCGGGATTCCTGTCATTTAAGGAATATCATCAGTTCATTATCTAGAGGCATGGCTTATTGCACCAAATTAGGCATTTGGCAACGGTTGTACATTTGTACACCTTTGTCCATACTATGTCTCCCACTACTACTCACCAGTTGTACCAGAGCTATGGGCGATGAAAGCCACATCATCCTTGACTTCTTCAAAAGACTTAGAAAATTTGTACAGTGTTGTAGGACCACCGATTATCTCTTTTGAGGCTGGGATTTCCACGGTCGTCAAGTCAGGTCGAAGAACCTTTATTTCCATCGCTCTCTGGCTTCTTTCTGTACTATATGCCAGTTTTGAGCAATTGGTGACTTCGAGTAGGCGAAGATGTGCTTCATCTGAGTTTCTAGTCGATGAAAGTAGGGGCTAACAGTTCCCTGATCAGTACCAGGTCGTCCGAATCAAATAAATCCACCATCTCACCTTATAGCCCGTCTTGTTACACGCCATTACCATCACAAGATAACGTATATCGTTCGCTCCGAGATAAGTTAATGTCTCCATGGTGGAGCTATGGCCAAAGGCCTCTATAATCCACCACGACATATAATTCACTGCATGGGCAAGTTCTCTAAATGTCAAGTCAAAGAACCCATCTGAGATCTCGGAGCCCTTAGGCACAGCGCAGACTTTCCTCTCTGGATCTCGCTCAGCCACGTCATCAATGACTTGAACCATAAGCCTCTTCCCAATAGGGGCGGCTGCTTGCTCTGCCATGATGCAATAGTGTGCTCGTAATGATAAAAAAAAAACAAATTGAGAACCGAGGGTTCAAGGACTGGAGAGGACGAAAGATGTGCAGGTTTTCGGTTTTCACCGTTGCCAGCAAGGAGAGGTAAATCTCCTGTTTAACCCAGCATTTTATAATCCTCTCGAATGCCCCTTTATGAATGCCGTCTGCAAGGGTCAATTGGCCCATGCAAGCTGAATATCCGGTCCTTTGTTTGCTAAGTTTTCGGCGATGTTCGGGGCGAATGACAACATCGAATTCGTAGCCGCATAGACACCAATAAGCATGTTGACGTGTTGGGCATATTACTGTGGTCAGAGAGACCGGATTGACTTTGCAGGGTGAAGTGAACCGATGCCTAAGATATCATACCGCATGTAGATGAAACACCTGACCAGCTAGGACAAGGCATTTTCATGCGCCTTCTCAAGGTAGTATAAAGAAGGTAAGCACATGAAATGCTTAAGAGCCAGAGTTATGCATAAACCACGTAGCTTGAGGGTCACGATTCAACTCTATCGTCCACTTGGCATTGCCCCTAAGGGTTGCGTGCTCAAAATCACATCTGTGGAAAGTTGGTCAGCACAAAGACGGCCCCAAGTCTAGAAGCGGCCAATTTCCCCCAATCGACATAGATTGTGGCAAATGCAAACCTGCGGAGTGTTGCTATCTGCAAGAAAAACAATAGTTCGAAAGCTTAGTCGAGAACCTGTGTCACGTGTACGACCGTTTTCCACGCTCGCTGCGAGTATGTAGTATAAATCACTGGCGAGACTTGCTACATGACCAGAGCACTTGGTTGAATAGAAAAATTTCTATTTCCACATTTCCTGCCTTTTTTCGTACACCGATTTGAGAACGCCAGATTTGCAACGGACACATCATAAAAGATCAACCCAACGAACACGTCCCAAAGGCCAGACCCCGAAGACATGCACTATCTTGTCAGACATCAAAGTGGAACTGTACAGTCATAACAAGCGACAAGAAATATAAAGAAGCCTTATAATTAAAATAACAAAAACAAATAACGAAGGTCAAAGTCGCTCAAATTTAAAGGTTCAGCTTCTTGGCCTCCTTCTGAGCGAGCTTGACCAGCTCATCGTACACACCGCTAAAGTCCTCATCATCTGCTGATTCACTCTTCTTACCCTTTGCAGCCGACTTGGGGACAACCATGGTGACACTGGTGGGACGCTTTGTTGCGGCAGAGTTACCGAGCTCAGCTCGAGATGTGACGAAAACGTAAGGAATGCCATGGTCCTCACAGAGGACAGGGATATGCGAGATGACATCCATCGGTGAGATGTCGGCAGCAAGGATCACAACTCCATTGGGAGTGCTGATCGGGGCGTTAGGTGCAGGAACGGGAGATTTCCGGAGAGCCTTGACAACTTCCTTCACACCGCGCTTGAGGCACTTGTTCACGGCGGCTACAGTAGAATCATCATATTAGCGTCATTGAAACGAGATGGAAGCTTTACATTTAGCAATACGAATCATAGATGGTTTAAGATTGTAAAAGTGAAATTGATTCGGTTTGAGGGACGAGACACATGCGCAACATCCGGAAGTGGGTTGGAATTAAGATTTAACTTACCCTTCTTCACGCTCTTCAACACCTTCTTTGCCGACTTGTCTTCGACCAAAGGCTGGGCAAACGGCACGAGGGCGCCAACAGGGCGGGCATCGACATCCATCACCTCAGTCTCGACAATGGCAGTGGCTTCCGCAGCGACAGCACCGTCAATTCCATCCAGAACCTTGGTAGTGAGCTCTTGCTCAACTGCGTCGGCGAGAGAAGTCCTATCCTTCTTCTCCTTCTTGTCCTTCTTGCTCTTGTGGACACCGTCCTTCTCCGAGCGCTTTTCCTTCTTCTCGCGCTTGTCCTTCTTCTCAACCTTGTCCTTGGCCATTTTGAAGTCTGGTACTACCCGGGGAATCGAACAAAACGAGGAGGGAAAAGGGCGACAATCGGAGGACGGTGGCGTGGGGAGTAGTAGTTTATCGGTCACTTTTGGAGGCCGCAAAAATTCGAAATCTTTCAAAATTTCGGCGCTAATCCTTTCCTGGAACGCGAGCTTCTGGCGGGCGGTGAGCAATGCTGACTCATCCAGTACCGGATCGGGATGTTCTATTCGCCCGTCCAAAACAACAAGCCGACGTTGAATTGCTCCGTACGGCTCTGCGTGCTTGAATCGGTTAAGTTGTGGGAGTCACCTCTGGGAGCTTGAGGCAGCTTCTACCGGGCCCTCACTTACTTTCCATGACATCATTCGCAATTCATTTGTCATTGGTCTCCGCCGCTTACATAGTCAAAGGTTGACAAACAATATGCCTTGCGGATTCTAAAGCATTTGAGAGACTAACAGGCTTTAGATGAATTCAAGTAGGAATTCGCAGCTTTCCTGGGGCTCGCCGCCACGGAGCGCCTCACCATTATCGATCCCCCCGGCCCCAAGCCCTTTGCGACAGTCCATCCGTCCTTCCCAAGTTTCAAAGCCTGGTTAGCTCCAATCCTCGGTGGCGGACAGTGCATCTCATGCGACTAACTTTCCTCACAGATACAGAAAAGGAAGAACTGCGTGTCCAAGTCAATACTTTGAAATATGAACTGGAGAATATCAAGCAGGAGCGGGACCTGATGGTCCTGCGCCATGAGAAAGAGCTTCGGGATGTTCAATTAAAGGCGGATGCGGATTTCAGGAAAGCCCAGGTGTGTACATATTGGCATGCCGGACAACCACAAAACTAACTGATCTGTCTCTGTAGGCTGCAGAATCTGCCAGTCACCGCGCCAATCACAAGAGCGAGTCCCTCGCCAAAGAGTTAAAAGAGGCTCAAGAAACCTCACTGAACGAGAAAGGCGGCCTTGAGCGGAAGATCAGAAGCCTTCAAGATCAGAACCAGAGCTTACAGGATGATGTCGATGATACGAAAGCCCAATTGCTGGACCAGGAGAGACAGTCCAAATACCAGATCAACGAACTAGAGACCATTCGCTCATCCCTCCAAAGAACTCTGGCAGAATTGCAAAACGATCTTCAAAGCGCCAGGAATGACGTACAGACCACTCAAGAGAAACTGCGTGAACGGGAAGCGGATGTCGCCAACCTGGAAACCGAGAATATACGGCTCAAAGCCGAAGGAAGCGATGCAGAGACGGTAGCTGTTCTCAAGAGAGAGCTTTCAGAACAGGTCAGTCATATCAGGAACCTAGAGACTACGAATCGGGACCAAAGTGCGGAGTTGCGGCATCTTCGAAAAGTGCAGAAAAATGTCGAAGTGGTGGAAGAGCAGAAGAAATCGCTCGAGAATCAACTACAATTAATGAAGGAGGTGGAGTCGGAGTTGGGAACAGTTCAGATCCAGAAGCAGATGCTCGAAGACGAGCGCACATCATGGACCAGTCTTCTACAGGATAACGATGAACAGGCCGAGGTCGACTCGCCAGAAGCAGTTGTGAAGGCTCTACTGCAGGAGCGGATTGAGAAAGCAACTCTTGTTGATAAACTTGGCAACATCGAGGCGCAGTTTCTAGAAAAAGACGAGCTGATAAGAAGCTTGGAAACTGAGAGGAGTCACCTGCGACAGGAAATTGAAAAGCTTCGGAGTAGCACTGTTGCAAACGGAGGAGCCATGGCCGAGAGCAGAATTCGGGCAAGACTAGATCGTCAGCGAGCACTTGCAGTGAAGGAAGTTGAGTATCTCCGTGCACAATTGAAGACTTTTGACACGGAAGAGGTGACCATGAACGCGGAACAAAGTCAATTTGATGAGCATAAGTCAGAACAGATCGCCAATCTGGAGAAGATTGTTGATGAATACAGAGTGGAACTGGAGAAAGCTCACGAAGAACTCTCGAAACGGGAGCCTACCGAACAGCCGGACGCAGAACCTCGGGGTGTTAAGCGGCCTCTGTCCCCCGCCGAGAGCGATGCGGAGAACGAGCGCCTTTCTGTCTTATCCCGGAAAAACAGGACATTGCAAGAGTCGCTCTCCAAGTCTGAACAGGCGTCAACTCTCCTACGCCGAGAGCTTGAAGCTACCAAATCCCAGCTCAAGTCTCTCAAGGCCAAGTCACGCACACGCGTTCTCGAGCTCCGTGACAATCCCACAGCGCAAGCCGAGAATCTCAAACTCTCCACCATCACAACCCTCAAAGCTGAGAACCGTGACTTACTTGCCCAATTACAGGGTGACCACAACAGTGTCAAATCTGTCCCCGTTAGCACCCTGGAGAGCCTGAAGTTAGAAATCCAAGAAATGGAGCGAGTCGTCGCAGATAAGGAGAAGCGCATGCGACGACTAAAGGAAATCTGGACCGCCAAGTCATCCGAGTTTCGCGAGGCCGTTGCCTCTCTGCTCGGATACAAGCTAGACTTCCTCCCCAACGGGCGTGTACGAGTAACATCTATGTTCCACCTCTCCCCCGCCTACAGACACGGAGACGGTGATGGTGCTTCTGACCCCCGCGGACCGGGAAGCATGGGCAATGGCGAAGAAAATTCAATCATTTTCGACGGAGAGAACGGCACGATGAAGATTTCCGGTGGGCCGAACAGTCTATTCGCTATGGAAATTCGACCCCTCATCAAATTCTGGGTCGAGGAACGAAAAGATATACCCTGTTTCCTGGCTGCAATGACGTTGGATTTCTATGATAAGACTACACGAGCTGCACGGATGTAGTTGACCTGTTTGGTGGGTGATTGTCATGACTTGCTTTTCCTTCTATCTCTTCCATCACCGATGTCAATGGATATAGATCGACTGTTTCGTATGTTATTTTTAGCGATTCCCCGGCACAGAGGCGTCAGTGTGCCATGTTTATTTAGTCATCATTCCTGTACTGCTATGAAGATAACTATGAGTTTGGAATACATTATCATCTTTGGCTTATAGAAACAATCATTGGCGACGGAATTACTGCGTGGATACTCAAATTGTCTGCGAAGCGTCACGGCTAAATACATACGTTGTTGTTATTTGGGGCATTAATATGCGCCGAATATCCCACTGAGACAACCTATTTACAGGCAAAATGCCATGCCTACCTGTCCAGAGGGTGGCTATACACACAAAAATTACTGCGACACAGGGAAGCAAGCGAGCGTGACGAAATCAAAGGACCGAAGAGATGATAGGTATATACCTCGCACAAAAGGAGAAAAGAAAATAGTCAAGAGAAAGGAAGAGAAAGATCGGCAGAACGAGAGTAACATACAAAGTCGTGGGAGTAAATTATGTGCTAAGATGGTGGCAGGTAGTGTCAGCAGACAAACTTTTGGAAGGCGTACTATTCCAAAGGAATCCGACAAAGACAGTCACGATGGTATCTTGAAACTGGAACGGTCCGGCGGGTTGTGGTCATGATTGGTTCGTAGAAAGTGCAAAAACAGGCGCTATTCTCGTGACACCGAGATGTAGCACAACAGTCTGCTAAGATGAGACATATTTGCCTCCAACCAGCTTGCGAGTAGTAGGGACTTCTTTCCATGTCAGGGAGGGTTGGGTATCGTCATGTGCACCCGAGTCTTCGTCCGCAAAAGGATCAGATCCCTTTGGCGTACTCGCCTCTGCTGGCAACGCGGCACTGATTCCCAGTCGAGATCCAGCATCGAGAGTGTTAACCTCGAATTTCGCGTCGACCTTCCCTTTCCTTGGCCAACTAGTGGCCGTTGAGAATCGAACCAGCAACTTGCCGTCAGATCCAGCTTTAACTTCGAACTCAGGCATCTTCCAGGTCACCGCCGAGTGCTTGCGACGGAAGGACGCCCCCGTATTAGGATACATGACAGCATTCGTAGCATGGGCCACTTCTCGGCCCTCTTCAGGAGATGTATCCAGGTTCACTGTCAGAACCAGATTCTTGAGGGTGATTGATTCTTTTGGTGCGGAAGATGTGAATGATGGATTCAAGGAATAGAAAATGATGACGCTAGCCTGGTGTTCCTCAATGTTCCATACAGGTTTGAAGATAACCGGACAGTAGGCGGAAGAGTCGGATGCGTCAACGTGAAGTTGGTACTTGAAAGCCACTGTCGGTGAGGGGCGAGAAATTGTGGGAATATGTATGCTGTATTGTCCTCTTTTTTCATCTGAGAGATCCTTGTCCTTCTCTTCATTCACAAAATGAGGATTTGCAGCTACCTTCTCCAGCACCTGGAAATTTTCTAAACGGACTGTGGTATTTGGCTCGGGGGTTCCGTTGTAGGCCAATGCAAGCTCTCCGATGACGGATGACTTGGTGACAACACCGTCGGAGAACCATGCATTAACCGTTTCAATGATAGACGCGTTCAGTCCTGGTTCGTGGAGATCAGGGTGTGCAACTGCACCCGAGCTACCGTGCAAGGTGTGTCCCGAGCGAACCGAGGTCGTGTCCGACAGAGCATGGTCCTCTGTTGCAATACTAGGAGAAGCCGCATGCTTTGAAGGAAGACCCGGCGAGACCGGCATGGAGACGTCAGACCCAGATTGTAGAGTGGGAGCATCACTAGCTTGCGGTGGATTAGGAATGAAAACTGTGTTACGGACGTCACGCCGACCGCGCAAGGTCCCTACATTGCGGCGCACGCCAGTTTGCTGGGCTCGCTGAGTGAACAGATCGTCAGCAAGGCGCTAAAGGGGTATATCCATATCACTCACCAGTCTCAACTGATTAGCCATATCGTCCATTGCTTGCTTGGCTTGATCTTCATCTTCGAATATAGGCTGATCCCGGATTGTTAGATTGATACCAGCTTCCTCCATACTATAGATAGATTAATTAGCCACTGATCTCAGAAGATTTGAGATTCCCATACCCAGCTGCTTCTCTCTGTGCACGAGTGATCTTGTCAATGGTCTGAGGTGGTTCCGAGAACCCTTCGGAGTCGACCCGTGGCTGTCACATGAAATTAACGGTCTGAGTTACATCTGTCATCTCACTACAGCTTACCTGGTGCGAGTCACTAATTGCGATACCTGTCTCAGCAGGGGGCTCTGGGGATGTTGTCCCGTTCGCAGTTGTTGGTACTGAGTGAGTGGTCGGAATAGAGGTCATCGTACCGTGGCCTTCATGGTCATTGGTTTCGCTGGGGATACGTGTAACTTCATTGTGGCTTTCCTGAGTAGTCAGTGCAGTACCCGGGCGTTCCTCATCCGGTAGTGCTCGGGGATTTGCATGTCACGAGAGTCTCCCCGCTTGAAAGACGCAAAAGGGCTGCGGTGTTTCTTATCCGAAAAGAACGCAGCCCCTCCGGAGGGTTGCATTATGCTCTTCCTCCTATTCATGACGGTACCTAATCGCTTGAGTCCGCCAAGGGGTGTGCTATGGCGGGGTTGGGGCTCAGGTGCTATACAGAAAGTAAGTATCATCGATAACGACATCCAAGACGCTTGAAAGACAACAGCCGAGTCAGGAGAAATGACGGTACTTACCAGGGGGCGTCCTGATGGGACCAGAGGTCTCTGAGCGTTGACTGGCAGTGTCATCATGAAGGCGTGGCGGTGGTCCAGGAGGTGCTACAGGGGTAGGAGAAGTCTGTTGCCTCAATACAACCGGCCTTCCCCCATTGACCTTTTCGGCAAATGTTTTTATTTCATCTGCGGTCTCCACATTGAGAAGCACATTCAAACAAGTTTCTGTTGCTTGACGGCAACGCTCAACCTGATCCGACTCATGGGTCTCCAGCTGGGTGAGTGCATCTCGTAGATGGTTTAGTCGACTCTCGTCAGCTGCCTGGAGCTGCTCGAAAGCGAAAGGCGCCCTGGATTCCCATTCCTGCCTAACCCCTTCAGAGGCAGCAACCGCACCCGCCAGCTTATCTGCACCCTTCGGGCCTTTCTCCCTAGCTTTGTCCACCTTTTTGAGGGAGGCTTCCAGATTCTTCGCAAGAGTTGCAAGATCGCTCTGGACTCCAGGCAAAGATGCCAATTCGCGGTTCTTGGTGTGGTAATCCCTAAGAGGGCGTTCCACATCTTCCTCAATCTTCTGTGCGAAGGTTTCGTGCGACGAGGCCACCATCTCCGTAGCATTGACGATGCGTTGCCATGGTATCTGGAATATTCTAATTTGGCCAATTGACAACATGTTAGATAATTGATACCTGGGTAAGATCCTCCGATACGAGCCGAGCTTACCCTAGTGCTGCTCCATTGTCCAGTTGCTGCCGTGTCGCAAGCTTCCGTAGCCCTTGGGCGTATGCTTCTTCGACGCGGCGTCGCTCCTATTGCGCAAATCAGAATTTGTTCGCTCCAATTACTGTCACCGAATTTGAGAGGTGCCAGGATCATACCTGCAGCCAATCCGCGATGTCGGCATTGATCTTGTTAATGAGGCGAATGCGATCGCTGAGAACACCGGTGGCTTGGCCAGGCTGCAAAGAGGTCTGAAGAAAGGAATTACATCAATCAGCGAAGATCTTTAAGTCCGGTAGATCTATGTCGGGTCATGGGGAGTGGAAGAGTGGCTCGAGCTTACAAGCAAAGCTGGATACTCCTGCCGTGAGAGATCCATCATTAAATACACATAGATCACAACTGTACAAGTAGATGAGGGGGGCGGCGCATAATAAGGTCCAGCCCGTAGAGATGCAAAAACGCCCGGAAATGAGTGGGATGTTAACGAAAGAGCGATATATGTCCGAAAGACCAATGCAAGTCGGTAAACGTGCAGTACAGCTGCGGGATGTGGAGGAAGGAAGAGGAAGTGCTATGATGACGATGGTTGCAACTCCGGAAGAACTAAAAGCGGACCCGGAGTTGGAAGGAAGAGCTAAACCGCACTTAGATTAGCGCGGCTGGTGTCACATGTCCCGCCGCCTTTCTGTATGTATCCACTAGTAAGAGAAAGTTAGTGCCTGACTTGTATGGAGTAGAGCATCATGATATTAGAAAGTGAATTGATCATTGCCTTCAAGCGCATTACAAGGATCAATTAAAATACCTCTAGTCGGCTTGACTGTAGCGCTTCTTTACATCTCTAAGACAGTATCTTTGGTGATTGCTACACTTGTCGCCACGTCAAGCAATGGCCGATTGGAAAAAAGCTCTTGGCTTCACGGATAGGCTAACAGCCATCCAATCTTTGTAAGAGAAGACAACTTTGCACTTTGTACCTGGACAACGCTCATGTCTATCCTGTAGGACTACGGCCTATCAGCGTGCTTCATCTTCTGCTGCATTTGCAGAGGCACAGTCTCAGGCAAAGAGATTCGAGACTGAAGCTTATGATCAGGCCACATCGAAGGTAGGGGCTCCTAGCTATACGCCTCATCTCGCGTCCGCGGATATTTACAGTCTTGCTATACGTAGGAAGAATATGATCAATTGTGCCAGAAGGCTATTGATGCAGCCGAGGCCACTGGCTCGGCTGCTCCTATAATTAGTAGCCCCGATCAGGTACAAAGTCAGGAAGGGGTAGAGCATTGGCCTGCGGGCGAGGATATTGGACCATACAAGGCATGCCTTCATCATTTTGACGGGCTTCATTCCACCATCTACAAATCCAGGCGCACGGATGGAACCCTGGTTGCTGTGAAAGTGACTATCCCCCATCTTTTAGCACCGCCACACGACGCGAAGTGCGAAGTTAAGCTCTTGCGAGAGACTGCTGGAACTTATGTCATACCTTTACTTGAAACGCTGAAACTTGACGGAGGCCGACTGATTCTGGTGTTCCCTTTCATGAAACATGACTTTGAACATCTATTGCGACGAGGCATGTTGACTGCCACGCAGACTAGGTCTCATTTGCGCGATTTGTTTAGGGCGTTGGTGCACGTTCATGAGCTGGGGGTTATACACCGGGACATAAAACCTTCGAACATTCTCTTGGACTCACCTGATGGACCAGCCTACTTGGCAGACTTTGGGATCGCTTGGAAAGAGGGACATAACGAGGCTGAACCAGCCGACAAAAAGATTACAGACGTGGGAACCACATGCTATCGACCTCCTGAGATATTGTTTGGTTATAAAGGGTATGGCACAGCTCTCGACCTTTGGGCAGCTGGGTGCGTGGTTGCGGAGGCTGTGGCTGTAGGACACAAGCAACTTTTCGACTCTGGGCCACTGGGCAGCGATCTCTCGCTTATCCAATCTATATTCCAGACCTTGGGTACTCCCGACGAAGAAATATGGCCGGTATACTATGTCCCTGGTGAAAATATTCTGGGTGGCGCATACTGACATGGTGGTAACAGGAAACCCAGAAACTCCCAGATTGGGGCAAGGTGGAATTCTATAGATATCCTGCCAAGTCGTGGGATGACATCCTCCGAGGGGCCTCCTCAAAAGGTCGTGACTTAGTAAGCCAACTGGTGCGTTATGAGAGTAGCCAGCGCATTTCTGCTGCAGAGGTAAGCTTTCCAGGAGTTGGAGAACTGTTATAGATACACGAGACGGCGTCGGGATTTTTTCTGCGCCCGATTCTAATACCTCAATAGGCTCTCAGACATCCTTATTTTTCGGCATGTTAACGGCCGTCATGGGGGACCGTCAATCACATGTTACGGGCAGGAAAGCTAGGATGAAGATAAGGGGAGGGAGCAAAAAGACCCCAGGGGTCCACTGGTTAAGGGTTCATATGACGAGCATGGTGTATAATGTATGGCGGTCTGGCGTTAACAATCATGCCGGGTCCCACCGGCATCTGTTAGGCGTTTCAGTATTCTGACGGCTCGAAATCGAGAGATGATCACGCATAAAGTGCGAGGACTGTCGGCACTGACCGGCAGGGAAAGCCGTCAATAGAACTCCACCTTTAATATAATGCCCACTGCGCCTCTGGGGAGTCCTCATCTTCGATGTGGACGAGTGGACACAATGTCATTCTGTACTCACGTGATGATTGCCTGATGGGTTTTTGTGCGACCCACATCTTTCTTGAACGCTGGTTTGCAGAAACTCTGTCTTGCCCCTTTTTGCATCCTTTACTTCATGCAAGTGGATTGTGAAATGCACTGATCTCCTCGTTGCCCCTGTCACCTCATAATATTTTGTTGTACGGAGTATGAGAGCAGAAATACGCCACGCGAGGCTGAAATGGCGCTCAGCAGAGAGGATCAATGCAACGTCTTTCGGGGATAAGTGGATGCTACTAGGAAAGGCCGGAGGAGCGAGAGGCTTGGCTAATTAAAATCACGGGTCCCTTTAGATTGAACAATTGTTGATCTTCTCCAGATTTATCCGAATAAGCGACCTCGGCCACTTTTTCCATTGCATTGTTGGATCTCGATATATGTATGTCAGCACGGGACAACTCCTTTTGTTCCCATGCGGTTCAAGGACAGAGGAACAGGTATAATAAAAAAGCCAAATGGAATACTAGTAAAAAAGGGGCGGGGAGGACAAAAGTGAGTTCCCAAATATAGAGAAGATACTAGATGATTGGATGCGCCATCCATGTTGTTGGCGGCGGTACGATACCATACCGCCGTTCAGCCCAGGGACACTCGTGCATGGGGGTCGATTTGTGCTCGAATAACAGTAGCGGGTGACTCGGCATGGCCCTCGTGTTCGTATTTACCGTCAGATAACCAGGCACCGTACAGGGCAATCTCCCGCCTGAGCCAATGGGAACCAATGGATGCCGGCGAACCCAGCTTCAGTGAGTTAGCGTGGTCGGTCCAATACGGGCGGATACCAGACCCTGATTGGGTGGGTTCCCCCTCATTAACCTCCATAAGCTTTGATCTCATTTCGTTTACTTGCAGCCAAGGGGCCCACCGCGGTAATTACCGGTAATTTTTGCGAGGTAGGGTTAGGACAAACAGGATGCCATGTTTGGCTGCCCTTCCACAATCTCCCCGGTCTGTTGTTGCTCTTCTTCTCCTCCTACACTCTTCTCCAAGTCCTTCTTTCCTTTCTACCCAATCGCCTGGGAATCCCGCACGCTGGGTTCCCTTCCTTTCGTTCACATCCTACGGCCTGGAAGCTCGTTGTCCTTCATTTATCGACTTGCGCCGGCTGGGCCCCAGCCTCTTCAGCCATAGCTGACACTTTCCATTCTTTATCCTTCTGACATTCCCCATTCCTTAACGCGCTTGCGCCACTTTTACCTTCAGACGCGGCCGGCTCTTCTGGCGAGACCGAATCAAAGCCAAATCTACTCGCGTGCATTTACCGGGCAAGCTCCCATACATTCTTTCGAACTATATCAATTCTACAAATACAATCGGCAACTGCCACGCCTTCCCAAGCATCGTGACCTTGGGGCAAAGTGAAACGGACGACAGACTATCTATTCAATTTCTGTGCCGTCAACGACATAAGTCCGCCTGTTCTCTTGTTTGAGCTTCAATTGACCTGAGTTTCAGTCGATGATATCTCGACTTCTGCTGGACTGAACGACCCAAATCATGGTCCATGTTCATAATCACAACCATGGGCCCAGCCTGGAGGGACGAAGTCCCGACCATGGCGATAACGGACAAGAAGTCACCATAGTTTATGTGACTGCTTCCGCAGACTTTGACGGTCCTATAGGTGGTTATGTGACAGGTGAAGACCCAAAGACCAAGACCGCAGCTCCTACAGCCGGCGTTGGTCCTGCGGTTCAACAAAGTCGCACATCGACTAAGGAGGAACCAACTACGACTAAGGAACCAACGAAGAAAACTACGGCAGTGGAGACGAAGCCAACAGCCACCACCAAGATCGAGACGACTGAGACCACTAAGGAACAGCCGACTAGGACGAAAGAGACTACCAAGGCAACTGAGAAAGAGACTTCCACGACCGATCAGAAGAACACCCCCACCGCAATGACTACCTTCTCAACAGCTACCTCCTCTACTTCCTCCTTGTCCAATACTGGCTTAGAAGAGGCTGCTGCCACGCACGCGTCGTCTTCGGGTACATCAGCTGCGTCGTCTACCGCTCTTCCTGGAGCGTCTGGGTCTGAAGGCCTCACAGGAGGTGCGAAAGCCGGTATTGCGATAGGTGTAATTCTGGGAGTTGGCCTGATCGCGGCTCTCATTTTCTTGTTCATGCGTAAAAAGAAGCAGGGCCAGAAAATTGACGAAATAGAGCCCGAAAATGAGAAGGCATTTGCTGCCAGCAGTGTAGCACCTCCCCCGCCTCCGCCAAAATTCGAGCCGATGACTCCTACCAATCCACCACAGCTCAACGTTCGACCGGTGACCCAGTTTGCACCCGATCTCACGCCCTCTGCCACAGGCGCTCTCTCTGCGGCTGGTGCAGGCGCAACACTTGGAGCAACCGCCGCTGCATCGCGTAACCTCACTGAACACGCCTCACCACCCAACACTGCGCAGTCGAATGCGGGCACCTCAAATCCTTTTACTGACCCGGTGAATCCCTTCAGTAACCAGGCGGAGGCACCATCCCCCAGTGACGTGGCTAGGCCAATTACCCCTCCAACTGCCCCTCAGACCACGGCGCCTCCAAATCCGGTTCCTGCTGAAGCTGCTGTGGCAACGGCTGCTGCCGGTGCGGCGGTGGCTGCAGTGGCTGTCAGTGCTGCAGTTGCTTCCTCCAAGTCTACCGAGAATGATCATCCTACTCAACCTGAAAGCTCCGAGCCCAAGACTGATTCTCAACCTGAACGTGCGGAGACAAGCCCTGTCAATGCTCCAGATGGCAGTGAGGTATCTGCTCCTAGTCCTGCTGTTGTCACTGCAATTCCTGCGTTTGGCCCTTCTGAACATGGTCCACCTCCCCCTCCGGCTCCTACCAATGTGCATCGCGTACAGATGGACTTCAATCCTTCCATGGAAGATGAATTGGAGCTCCATGTCGGTCAGCTTGTTCGGCTTCTCCATGAGTACGATGACGGCTGGGCTCTCTGTGTTAGAATGGATCATTCGCAGCAAGGAGTGGTCCCTCGTTCATGTCTCTCTTCGCGCCTGTGAAGCCTCGAGCTCGTCCACCTCCAGGGGCCGGCCCCGGTCCCCGTGGTCCACCAATGATGGGACCCAATGGCCCTATGCCTCCTGGTGCCATGCCCAATCCTCGTTTCTACCCTCAAGGTGGACGCCCAATGTCTCCTGCTCGACCGATGTCGCCAGCACGCCCCATGTCTCCGGCTCATCCTGGCTATGCTGGGCCTCCAGCACCACGTCCTCACCCACAGCGCCCAATGTCCCCTGCTCAATTTCCCCCTGCTCCCCGATCATTCTCGCCAGGCCCAGGGCCTCGTCCAATGCCACCTCGCTCGATGAGCCCAGGTCCTTATGGTCCCCCAGGCATGCAACGACCGGAGATGCCTGTCAACCAGCGGCAACGAAGCAACAGTGCTGGTGGGCCAGTTCCACGCACTGCCGGCTCACCAGGACCTAGTCCCTTGGCTGCTCCTAGAACCCCACCCCCATCAGGTGCGCTGCCAGCAATCCCCAACCTGGTCCCAGCTCCTGCTCCGGCCCCGGTTGAAGCTCCAGCCCCGGGAAGTAACATGCCACCCCAGTGAGCTCTGGGCATTCGCGTTAGACCAATGATCGTCGATTTCGCGGGAGACAACGGCTGACATTGTCGCTATTATGTACGAGTCTGCTATGATATCATGTGCTCCTGCAACGAAAGCGCTCTACCCAAAGTCAACAATGCGTTATGTCCCCACCATCGACTCGTCAAGTTTGTTTCTTCTTGATTTTCTCCACTTGCTTTACCTCATATTCTGTATGAATCTTTCCGTCTTCCTAGCAGACTACTTTCATAAGGATTTGTCTGCGTTCTCTTACGTCTCTTCCTTCACTGCCAAGTGCCTGCACATATCTCACCTGACGGAATATACCCAACTTTGTAAGATTTCTTTCTATTGAATCATGAAACCAGAAGTTTTTTTTTGGATTACTTTATGTGATTACCCTATTTGTTACTACAATATACTTTTCCTACCTTAATCTTTCTCCGATGTCTACGTTACATCTTATCTATTTTAAACCAAACAGTCGGCCGTGGTGGTATAACGCTTTCTAATATCTGTGTTGATGTCAAATAAATAACCCGAAATCGAAAGAAGAAAAGAAACAGTGTATGATCGATCGAATAGTTCCCCTTTTTAATGTAGTTCATAATATATCGCTTCGACCTTTCACGCTGCACAAAGCCCACAAATATCTAAATGTATCTATGTGGTACAACATGGACCCTCACTTTTAAAGCAATAGAATCAAAGTAGTACAGAAATTGCCGGTTCAAAACTAACATAGCGCCGCAGTGATATATCTGTTTTCATGCCGCTGTCAAAGAAACAGAATGTGTAAACCAGACTCCCAGAGAAATGGTCTTTATGTAATCTAAAGATGCGGGACACCTCCACTTGCCAGAAGAAGATTAACGATGCTAATGATACCTTCACCTAGGATCAAACCGGAGGCCAGAACCACGACGGTTGAGGATGCAGCATCGGCGTCTTTGATAGCTTGTCCGGGTGCGGGTCCTGCCGCGGGGGTTCTGGTATCTGCCTCCTGGGCGTTGCCTTGGGGTTGTCCCTCGTTGGCTAGCTGAGTGGGAGGTTCAGGATCCTGGGCCTTGGCGTGCTTTCGAGACCACCACCAGGCGATCAGTCCGCCAATGGCTCTGGCGAGGGTAAATGAGGGGACGTTGAAAATGCCGACGGCGACGGCGATACCGCCCGGGATATATGATCGCCACCAGGCTGTTGCGTCGCGTTTACCGCCGTTGGCGATGCTGGACGTACCGACGATACGGAGAATAGTAACGACAACGAAAATTGCCCCGGCTATCGAGGCTGCTTCCCATGCCATTGGGGGGAGACCTTGACCTGTGACCAGGCGGGCTGTGAAGATCCAGACGTATGCTGTTGGGGTCTGGAACATGGGACCTGGGACCTCGTAGACGTTCACGTACATCTTGTACACTGCTGTTGATAATACGGCGCCAACTAGACTGCCGATCATTTGACCGTAGAACTGGGCCTTGGGGCTTGCACCCAGTAAGTGGCCAGTCTTCAAATCTTGCATCATATCCCCGGCCTGTAGGGCACCGGATTCGGATACTGCACCAGCAAGAAGGTTGGTGACTAACGCAGTGCGCCGGGAAAAGTGAGAGGCGGGGGTTGCGAGGGAGAAAAGCAGTTGCGTTAATTTGCTTATCCCAGATACTGGGTTCAGGTCTGTCTCACCGAGGGCGCGCACACCCATTACAGACAGGACAACAGCCAGCAATGTTGCAAGGCTGGAGAGTAGTGGAGATATGACGTCACCAAAGACGAAGTGCATGCAAATAACGTTCAATATCAGTGTCAGCGGCAGCAAGATGATCACGGTTCTTGTGGAGATAAGTTGAGATGGAGGGGCATCTTCCTCATCAACAGTTTCAGTGCGCCTTCCAGCCAGCAAAGCAGGGAGATGGCTTGGTATAGAGGATTCTTCCGAGATAGGGCTCAGTGCCGAGTAGCTGATATAATCATGGCGATGAGCTTCCGCTGAGCCTGCGGGGAAACCCGACGCCAAAGACGACTAGAGAGGAGCTTGGCCTTCAGTTTGGGGGCGTGCCTTACAACTGGCTTGAGCACTAGCCAGCCAAGGCTAACGATCGAGTCAGCGAGCATGATTGCCAGAGAAACCCATACAATCCAGGCCTTGCTTCCATCCTCCCAGCTATCCACAGGGCCAGGAGCCCAACCGCGGGCTTTCGCAAAGGGGGACAAAATACCCCAGCCTAACACTGCACCAAAGAGCATATGCATGCAGGTAGAAGGACCCATGATAATTCCTTGTCCGATATATGCTGGTGATGGGTTGAGAGTCCATAACCAATTATGCGCCAACGAAAGTCCGAAAATGGGAATATCACGGACTTGAGGGACAAAGTATGAGAACAATGTCTGCGTTTATTAGTACATGAGCACAACATAAGTCGGGGGGTGGTATAAATTCTTACATAAACACCGGAGACTACGAACGCGCCAACCAAGAGGCGCATCTTGGACCTCCAGTCCTTTTTGTCACTGTTCTCCTCTTCTTGGGTAGGTTTCCTCAGTAGCGCACCACTCTCCTCGGATACACGAGAAATAATAGGTGCCTCCTCTTCTTCATCTCTCCCCACACCCCTATCATCACTCATCCTGCCCTTTACTTTCTCATCGCTCTGTCCGCTTCCATGAAGGACCCTCAGCATCAGCGCAGATGCTGTACCGCTAGGAAACTTGAGCTTCTCGCGAACAATAACCTCTTTTCTCAAGGGAACGGCAAAGACAACACCGAACAAGCATACCCCAAGACTCCAGATAACCAGCTTCCAGAAACTAAGTTTCAGCGGTCCACCTTCCCCGATGCCTCCGTCGCCAGAGGCCCATCTTCACCATCCCTTAGAAGAAACTCCAATGCAGGTATAACACCAACAAAGCCACAACCTAATGGCATTGTTCCAACCGCCCCCGCCACCGTCTGAATGAGGACATTCTCAATGGGGGTAAACGGATAAGAAAGATGTTTGGAGAGCACTTTGAAGACTGAAAACCCTATCAATGCCGACGGCATTGCCATTGTACTAATCCACCCTGTCTGCAACCCAAAGTATGTGTTCGAAAACGTGATGAGAGCGCCGATAATGAGGCCAACTAGAAGGGATCTGGGTGTAAAGCTCTGGGGGGAGGTGACCGGCGAGCGTTCCGGTACAGAGGTCGACGGAAACCCGGCATCATCATCATTATCATCATCATCTATCCTCCTCCGAATATAAGCATCGGAATCTCTGAGATGCGATCCATCCCCATCCGCCATATTCGCCGATTGAGCACCTTTAGAGGCGTCGTCAGGCATGTTGATAGTTTGGTAGTTCATCGAGTCACCCGCAACACTAACACCTCAGCCCTGCATTCCAGATACCACCGTCACAATTGAGATACAGAAAGTTTCAGCAGTCCATAGCGCAAGCGACAAGCATATAAACAAGTAAGTAAGGGAAGAGCAGGGGAGATGACAGTGGCAGGAATGGGGGATGATAAATCATATTGGCGATCACAAGTCCAGCCGCACTGACTAAGCGCCGGCGATAAGATAAGCCTCCCCGGATTGGTGATGTCACTGTCGCTTGCACTGATAAGAGCGTCAATTATCTATACTAAAATTATGTACTGTACGCCGTACTGAACATCTCTAGACAACAACATTGTACCGATTCCCTGTGAGCCATCCTTCCACGGCATCTTTGAACAGCTTCGAATACCCTTGCGCTGTCTTCTGTGACAACCATGCCAAGTGGGGCGTCACCACCAAATTTAAATCCTCTGTGCCCTCGGCCAGCAAAGGAGAGTTATTAGGCCCAGCGGGTTCCTTCAAGCATACATCGGTTGCTGCTCCAGCAATTTTGTTCTCTCGCAGAGCTTTGACTAGAGCTTCCTCATCTACAACGCCACCCCGAGAGACGTTGATCAGGACGGCATGATGGGACATCACTTCCAACTCCGGAGTCGAGATAAGGTTCCGAGTAGTCTCGTGCAGCGGAACCGCGAGGAAAAGCACCGTGCTCTCCTTAATCACTGTATCGAAAGGTGTCCTATCTTCACCTTCTGGGCCAATAGAACTACCAAAATTCTTACGTCCAGAGATCAGGACTTTCATGCCTAATCCCCGTGCAAGATTGGCGATCCGTTTCCCTGTACACTCCATCAGAAACACTTAACGTAGAGAAGACTGTAGTAGAGCACATTGAATTATAAACGTACCCACGCCTCCATTTCCTATAACACCCACCACTTCATCTTCGCACGTTAAGGGAGGATCTCCGTGCTTATCCAGATACCGGAACATTAGGATCTTCTTTTGCCATTCCCCAGCCCGGGTTTGGGCATGCATATCCACGAGCCTCCGTCGTGTCGTGAAGTACAGACCCATGGCATGTTCGGAGACAGCCGCGATGTTTGCCCCCGGGCAATTAGTCACAGCAATGCCTCGTTTTCTGCATACTTCAAGATCGACGCAGTCGGTGCCGGACGCCACGAGCACAATGAGCTTGAGATGCGGGGACTTCTCTTCAGAGAGCGCAGTCGCGTCAATGGGAAACGCACATAAGACCAGAATAGATGCATCGTAGATTCTTTCGTGCAGGTTTGCTAGTGTTGTTTGGGGGTACACTGTTTTCTTGAGGGTATATGGCTCGGGAATATCGAACTCTGGGATCCGGAGAAAGTCTCCTTGCAGGACGACCATATGGTGGTGGTTTGGCAATTGTGGAGGACTCATTGTTTTTTTTCTGCTTGGTTGATATACAGTCATGAATCACTTGGTGTGCTGTTCGCGCTGTCAATGGCAACGAAAGGGCCGAGGCTTGATTTATAGGTTCGGGAACCCCACGCATGGCCACGCACGCCCTAAGGCTGACATTTCCCCGGTGGGTCTGATAAGCAACGAATAAGTCGAATGTGCGAAGTGACCCTAAATGCCAGGGAAAATAATGATTCTCCTCCCTTGGGCATATTCAAATTGCATATAATATTCCCTGGTGGCTTTGTGATAAAATTTGGATACTGTATCTGTTTCCCACTCTGGCAACAATCTAGTACCTACTTGCTAGGTATATATATACATCCCTATATTAGGTCCACTGCGGAAGATCGGTAGACCACCTACCTGTCATCAGACATTCAAAGAAGAGCTCTCTGCTTGGGGGTTCGGAAAATCCCTTCAAAGTATTCTGACAGCCCCTTAGTGTCCTCTAAGCCTCCAATCCACCCGATGTATTGATCTGGTCTCAGAGCAACAACGGCACCTTTCAGTCGATCCACCCCCCACTTTTCATATACCTTTCCATCACACTGCATGTCCCAATGGCATTTCTCATCACCCCATATCTTGTCGTACTCCCAGCCGTTGTCGTCATCGAAAGGCCGTAGGGCCTCCGGGAAATCAAATAACTGGACATCCTCCACGGGCGCACTATGAATGGTAACCACATCAATAGTCGCATGTAGCTTCGCAGGCTTGCGTGAAAATTGCCGTAGAACCGAATGAGTGGATGCCAAATACTCGCTGAAGGTCAGAACCCGACGCTTCTGCTCCTCCGTCCGTATATCACCAGCAAGGAGCAAGATACGGAAGCGACCATCGCTCTGAAAGACCCCGGTAGTCCACCGGGTTGTACCATCAGCTTGGTTGCGAACCTTGGCTGAAATAAGTCTCTCCCCCGGTGAAAGGATTTTGGCTATATCTTGCCCGTTTTTATGGACTAGCGGGCTGTCTCCGTAATGGGACAAAAGGCCTTCGGCAAATGGCTCCACTGAGTTAAGAACCTCCCTCATGGCTTCGAACCTTGCTTCCGCGTCCGGAGGAGGAGAGCCATCCTGTTGTTTCAGGAATAGCGGCGACCAGCGACGATCGAAATCCACGAGCATCTCGGCGAGCGGGCGGCGCTCAAGTTCATACGTGTCAAGGATGGAGGCATGAGCTACTCCTTTTGCGACGAGGGCCACTTTCCAGCCGATGTTGAAGCCGTCCTGGAAACTTATATTCATACCCAATCCTACCTTCGGGGAATGATTGTGGACCGCATCACCAGCGAGATATATGCGACCTTTGGTGAAGTTCTGGGCAATTCTTTGACCAATCTGTTATTCAAATGCTTAGCATGATAGCACTGTGAAGAATAAAATCCAAGCAGATAACATACCTGATATGTAGTCCACCAGTCACAGACCTTGAAATCGAACTGAAACGGTTTCAACATCTGTTGCACCTTTTCCCGCATCATGCTCAACGTAATAGACGAACGATCAAACCGTCCTGAGACGTCGACCTCTGTCAGTGGGACGTAGAAACGGACTAGCTGCCTCTCTCTTGGAATGACGAGGAGTGTTCCAAATTCACTTGCCACCGTAGCCGCTCGGCGTACATCAGCTGGCCCTGAATTAGTTATATAGGTCGTTTTGAGTATGGAGCCATCGACTTACGAAAATTGGTGATAGGGATCACATCCAGGACACCCCTGTAGTACACCCGTCAGTCACGGGAAAGCCTATAGTTTCTGAGGAAGATAGTACCATATGTGTTCGGTTGTGGAACCTGTGAAGGGGATATCCAACTGTTTCCTGGTCCAGCTGCGGCCACCATCACAACTAATGAGATACTTTGCTTTAACTATCTCGATCGTACCTGGCTCGTGCTTTCTCTCCGGAGTGAGGTCTTCCACATCGTCCGGTGCTACGTTGTCACGAGAAAGAGATCGTGAGCCACCATCAGTTGAAGCAGCACTTAGCTCTTCTTCGGTGAGTGTCCTCAGCTTGACCGTGATCGGGTATTCGTCATGATTTTTCTCGAGGCTTGCATCATACTCAAGTGACTCCGCAACGACACCTCTCTCGACCATAAGGTTTGAGCTGTCTTTGATAGCGTCGAGGATATAGCGCTCGATTCTTCCTTGGCTCAAGCCATGCATGCGATAGGGCGCATTGTCGAGGCTTTCGCTCCGAACCTGTTTTGTTCGCTTCAAGGTTCCCTTCTCGTCCCTCGCCTATATAGTATCTTAGTTACGATGCCCGCGCCCCCAGGATCAACGATGAGGGGTAGTCTATAGAACGAACCCAGAAGCAGAACTCGGTGATCTCCACGCCTTCGTGCAAGACTCTGTGCTGAAAGCCCATGCTGTCAAAGAGCTCCAATGTTCCGGCCCTCAATCCATCAGCATGGCCACGGAACACCTTCGTAGCGCGTTTGTCGACGATACGGGCATTGACACCACAACGAGCCATCCAGTATGCAGCGGCTAAGCCAGAAGGGCCAGCACCGATGATAAGTCTAGCCAACAATCATCAATATCTAAGAAAAGCAACAATAACGACTTCCACCCGAACTTACACATCGGTGTGAGATTCGATCACAGGAGCCATGGTGAAGGCAATTGAGCTGATTTCGGTGCTGATGGTGGGTGTTGTCTGTTGGGTTTCAACTTTCTACCCACCCGAAGCAAAACAGGTTTTTATAACTCCCAAATTCAATCCATCCTGCAATGGCTCTACATTTGTTAATCAGATGTACTGCGACAACTCTCTCACTCGGCAGAGAAAGATTTCCTCGTTCCGCTTACAAAGCGATACTAGTAGTTAACTAGGGTGGCACAAACTGCGGCCTAAAGCAGACTTGCATGAGGCCCACCAGCTTAGACCAGTCGACTTCACAAGAACTGGACACGTAGTCTCACAACAGACCCAACATGCAATGCCATTGTCTCTTTCAACTAAGCAATTCAAGTAGGTCTACTACCTGGCTAGACGGATTAGCCAATAATGACGCAGGTGTCCTGAGGGCCAAGAGTTCTAGTTCTGCAAGTCCTTATGGTCAAGAAACATAGGGCGAAGAAGTCACTGAATTACCAATCTCTATATTGTAATTCAACGAAACAACAGCGCTTAGCTTGCTCATGACCCTCGTTACGTTGCATCCGGATTTTCCGTACATCCCTCTGTCTCGAAAATATCAGGTTGAGTGTTCTTCACTGGCTCCGTGTTAGCAATGAGTACAGGTTATAAGCTGGTGATGGCACAAACATTAGTATATATCGGACGGCCGTTGATGCATCGACGGAAATATGGGTAGCATTCCAAATCAGGGCTTATATATTAAGTATTCTTATTATAGATTCAAAAACTCACGGACCAAGTGACCCGAATATGCTTCCTTACAATCGTAGTAAAGTACGGGTAGCGTTAATAATATATACATCAGACAGAGACGGGGTATATACTGACTGTCAGGAAACGGGCTTTTAAGGTAAAAACGGCCGTCATATTAGTAAACCCCTCGTTCAAACCCATACGACATGTCTATCCCATCGTATTTTCTAGACCAATGGGTGAAACCGAAAGGGCAAGCAGGTCGAAGCCGGGAATCTAGGATAGGCTCTCCCTTGTCAACAGAGTACCCATCCTACACAGCCCATCGCATCTTCAAGGTCACCGACCTCTACGGTGTAGACAAGTTGAGTACACATCTAAGCCAATCACTTCTTTCTATCAGTTCGTAGCAGCGTCGATAGCTGAATACTGAGCCTAACTTTTCGCGACATAGAGAAAGTAAATCGATGGTTTGTATGCACCTCGTGAACTATCTTATGATTTGCCCCATTAATTAAGACTGATTCATTCTAGGTTATGTAGAGACCGGTTATGATCTCTTGAAATAAGACAATCGTGGGCATAGATTGGTCTGGGTGACTCAGGGAGTTAGTGGGCCTATCTCAGACATTGTAGGAGTATTTTAAAACTAAAGGGTTAAACCCCCTGCCTCAAAAGAGCCATGTTTCAAAACAACCCGGACAAGATGCTTTTAGAAGGAGTCTGGTGAGAATAAATTGTGTAAATCAGAGAAGTTACTGAGGCATTTTGATAGTTTCACTACTGAAGGAGCAATTGACTTTGAGCAACCCCTGACACCCTTGTTTACGAATAGCCAAGTATAGGGATTGTTTATTTTGACGGCAGGGTTTGATGGGGGCTCAGGACGCGTGCCCTTGCATAGAGGCAGCACGATCCTTGCTTGAGTTTGTCAATGCGGAATGACAGCCAGGTCCGATGTGTCAAGCAAAGGTTCATGATCCACAGGTACCAAGGGAAATATTTCCAGCTCAATCAAGGATCAGCTATCCAGAATACATTCCTGTAGATGCCCAGACAAGGTGTCAATGGATATCCAGGATAATAGGTTCAGCTCCTTCATTCCGCAGGAGAACGGGCAAGCCAAGAAAAATGGAGGCTGCCATGATTATGGGCAGTAGGCGCGTCATTGGAGAACATAAATACGTCTTCGACCATCTCTGACAATATTCATCCTGGTCAGCACGATCGTTGGCAAGAAAACTCTTCAAAAGACACACTCAGTGTATCAGAGAAAACACCTTCGACTTCAAATTCCATAACAGTCGCAAGCAAAATACAAAATGCACTTCTCCACGGTATGTATCAAACATATTGACGATTTTAAATGGTGTGAGCGCTAATAAACGCAATATAGCTCCTAGCTGCCTCTCTCGCTCTTGCCCCGGCGGTCTATGGCGCCGGCTCCAGCATAGTCCAAGTCGAGGTCCATGGCCACGAGGATTGCCATGTTGGAAGGCAGCCAGGAAACAACCATCAGGGGGAGGTCCTCAACGGAAAGCCCGACAAGGTCTTCGCTACTGAGACGTCCTGTCCTTTTGTCAAGCTGCCTGACCATGACGAAGCCGATACCTACTCCTTTAAGGTAACCGCGCTCAACAAGAAGAGCTTCGAGAAGTGCCGCGGTCTGGGTGTCTACGCGAATAAATTATGTGTTGGCAAGCCCGACTGGGTTGTGCCTTTCCGCCATGGAGAGCTCGAGACCACCAGCCCTTGTCTTCCTGAGTACGGCTTTGAGGACTACGCCTCGTTTCAGCTGATTTGCGATGACGATTCAGCCCACCACGATGAGGGAGACCATGGGGCACATGATGAGGGAAACAAGGCGGGAGGAAAAGACGAACAGGGAGTACCTGAGGCAAAGGGGTCGGGAGAGGACAAGGGAGAGGACAAGGGAGGTGACAAGGGGGAAGAGAAGGGCGAAGAGAAGGGCGAAGAGAAGGGCGAAGCTGAGCAGCCCCACCGTGAAACTGAGCAGCCTGCTGCCCCTAAGTCGAACTCTTGGTTGAGCAAACTGGGCTTGTAAGCGGTTGTGCGTTGGAGAAAAGCATTGGATACTCTTAATTGGTGTACGGATGATCCTGGACGATGTATCACTATATCACTTTCAGAACGGCTTTCGTTTCTTCATACCTAATATTACATTCTTTCAAATGCCCTTTTTCCCTATAACAACGCGATTCACTTTCCGATCAAGCTCTACGAGTGGCGTGATGGCCCAAACTGAGAAACCTGTCGGGGATCCTATCCCACATAGCGCATGTATTTGCCTGCCTGACAAAATCACCCCTCAAAATATCTTGCATATAGTGTCGAGTGTTGCGCGGCTGGATCTCCTGCAAAAGTAACCAGCTAATACACCACATTTCTTCAATGTCCCTCCCACATCCGGAGCACTATGTATATACTCTGGCATACTATTCACCTCGATCAAGTGTACCTACAGCAAATCAACCAGTAGAATAAGCATGAGACAAGCGCATACGTGTCATACAAAGCTCCAACCCGACAGAGGCGCCGTTAATGTGGAATGAAACGATTGGAATGCCTGGTACCTTGCGAGGAGCCAAGCCACTCACGACAGGAATGCAAGGCGACGGATGCTTTTCCCCATGGCAATGAAACACTTCGTGGCTCACATATCTCTTGTCGGCAGTATAATTCCTCACGTCTCAGGTATGGGGTCTCTTTTTACCTCGCGATTGGGGGCACGACACCCGGAAGTGGATGTAGGTCTCCCTGCCCTCGAGGAGTATTTCGGGGAAATGGGTCCGTAGTTATGGAAATGTGATATATAACGGCCGAACAGGCGAGACGTTGGAATGCAGATTCAGACCGAGCTGTTCTTTTGGTCAGCGCTGCCGTATATCCTACTGTCGGTGTTTGCTATTACTACTTTTTCACTACAAAGTAGTTCCTCAACATGCATTGGACCAATGTACGTGGGAACAACGACTTTCTCTGAGCAAGGCATATATTAGGCTCGAAGAAAGCTAACAGGCATATAGCTCCTCCCTCTCCTAACTCTTGCCCACTCGCCGGTAGCCTCAGCTCTCAGCGCCGCCCGAGTATGGGCCAACTTCTCTCCCCAGTGCCCCGCCGACGACCACACCTCTTATCCAGATGATCCCAATCTCAAATTGCACGAAGAATTCACAACAGCCGTCGATGTGGTCGCTGGGAAATGCCAGGAAGTTCCTGTCCCTCTTCGATACACCATGGAGGTAGATCACGTCTCAATTGACGCCGAGCTCTTCTGGCAGGAAAGCCTAGACCACTGCACTATTGCTGTGCACGAATTGCCGGGCTGCACCGAACCGCCACTTATACAAAAGGGGATCGGACGTGGGAAAGCACTCAGTGAGTGTGAAGAGCGGAACTTTGCCACGTTCACTCAGGTTTGGGTGAAGTTAGAGTGTGAGAAGATGAAGCCGGTTCCTCATGGCATCGCTTCTTGGTATCATGGGAGACTTTCAAATTATACGGGGAGTGCTAATAGTATTGGAAATCACAACAATACTGGGGATCACAATAGCAACAGTCCCAACAGTGGGACTGGTATGTCCCACAGCAGTATGTGGAAGAAGATTGGGGCGCGACTTATGCCGTCCTGATAATAGTTAGTTGTGATAGCTCTCTCTCTCTGTTTCTTTATAAGAGACTTGGTCATCTCGAGTGTTGGGATGCTCCTTTTGATATGTGTATATTTGAGATCCGGGTTTTTGTAGCATCTGCGCTGTTTTCGTTGGTTGACGAGATTGAATAATGATCACGATGGATATGCGACAATTACATTCAGTTCAAAATTCTCAAAAACCATTAGGCATTGGTAGTCATAGTATACAATCCTTCCCACTGAGGAAACACATATAGCACCAAATCGACACGAAAAGTTGGCTAATCACAAAAACAATACACAAGAATTACCGACAACGCCCGATTGCTGCAAAGCACAGATACTTGTGTTTGACTAGAACCCAAAGCTATCAAGTAGCGAATTTGAATCAGGCTCATAGAACATGGTCGGGGGTGGTTGTGGTTTCTTCGGCGCATCGGGTGCCTTCGAAGATGGCGGCAGGCCGGTTTTGATTGGCATGTCTGCTACCACGAGACTGCTTCGTCGTCGAAGCATTTTCCGGTAATCAACACCATTCTGCTGCAGGTCAAATGATACTTCCCTCGCTGACTTGGCGGGTGGAGGCTCGGCCAAGAACTCCCACTGGCGTACCAGGTTCAGAGCGAGAAGGTCGCAACCCATTCGATCATAGAGGCGCGCGTTGCGGATTACGAAGCCCCATTCAGCTGGACCAGAGACTTTAGATGCACCCTTCAAGGTCTGCAATGTTTTCTCACGAAGCTGTTTGTATAAGACTACTAAGGCAGGATCGTTCGATAGGTACGATTTGGCTTGTAGTGGGATCATTCCGGGGCTTCCCGGAGAAGCAGGTGTGGATGGAATGAGTGTTTCAACTGGAGACTAAAGATACCAAAATCATCAGCATAAGGGGCCAGGAAGAACACCGGGGGAACGGTGCCTGGTTAATCGGCCGACTTACGATGAGCGAGCGTACAGCCATATCACGACGGCCCAACATCCAGAATGCCCAAGAAGCCATCCATCGGTTTCCGTCAGAGGCAGCTTCGGGCAAGACCCTCTCTTCCAGGATTTCCTTTAACACTGGTCCATCATCCCCTTCGTAGGCGCGTACAATTGCAATCGCGAGCTGAAGATCACCGACTTGATTGATGCAGACCATAGCAGCATCGCGCAAGTGATCTGCAAGAAGGAAGAAGGCAGCTGCATACTCTGAAAGGGTTGTTAGCGTATCAAACGGGCGCAGAGTTTCTATATGCTTAAAACTCACCAAATCTGCGCTTCCCAAGCAGCGCGTATGCATTTTTCAAGGCGGTTGTTTTCCAACGAGGCTCTAGAAAGTTATTTGCAAGTAAACGCTGAGTCGCAGCTTGCTCACGATTCCATTGAGCCATGCGCCAGAGGCCCTGGAGAATGCTCTTCTTCCCAAGAGCAAGGTAGTACAGCGAACAGTCAATTGGATTCTTCTCTTCTGTTTTAGTGTACTCATTCCGGGCAACCACTTCCAGTTGAGCTCGCTAGTATTGGTCAGTACAGAGCTCTAGGAGCAGGGCATGAGTGATAATATACTTACAATAGCTGTGGTATTCGACAACCACATGAACAAGCCGCTCTCCCTGGCCGCCTTCCATACCATCTTACCGCCGAACTGCCTCGACACAAGGTCCAAAAGGATATCTTGGCTACCGCTATGGAAAGCCCAGACGATCTCTCTCCAGGAGACTCTATCTTTGTTCGCGACGCCTTGTGTTCTTCGCAGCATATGCTGCCGGAAAAACAGCAGATAGCGGGCAGCGTTGTCATCCATTGAGCGCCGATGCTTTTCGACAGTGGCAACACATTCGATAGTATCAACCAGGCGGAATTGCTCTTGACTGGAAAGTTGTGGTAAAGCAACCTTAGCTAAATTTTCATTGAGCGCAACAGCGGTGTTCTCATCCATAACAGATGATTCATCCTCCAGTGAGAGATCTTCGTACGCGGAATGTAGTTCCTTGGACGACGCTTTCTGTGAGGTCTTGAAACTTGTTAGCTGCATGACTAGGTAATACAATAGTAACTTAACAAACTCACATCGTGTTCCAAATAGAAATCTTCCAGGGGCATGTCCAAGAAACCATCAAGGTCGTCGCCTTCAGTGTAGAACTTGAGCTTCCGGTGCAACCTTATCAAAATGGAATGCGCCAAAGTACTCTTGCCACTGAGGATACACTGAGCCAAGAATTGGGGGTGGAACACAGGCAACGGGCCATTCAACCGACTGACAACTTCGAATAGGTCTACAAAACCTTGGCGACGCGATGGAATACGAAGCTGTGACACCAGACGATCGTTGGCGTCGATCTCATTGTCGTACACAAAAAGTTGGTTTCCCGCTCCGATCACAAGGTGGCCATTGTTAAGCCAACAGGAATCTCCAATAGGATGAGGTGTTAGGTCCCGAATCCAGATCTCTCTGACTTGGGTCCAGGAAGGTCGAGCATCAAGGTAGTCATAACGAAGCTGCGATAGCAGGATGACTTTGTGGGGAAACCCAACCGCAAGAATGGATTGCATGTCTGGTGTGGAAGTCCAGTCCAAGTCACGGATGATATCTTTCTGGCCAAAGTGCTCCTCATACTCCAATTGCGCACCATTTGTATCCCAGATAGTTAAGTGGCTACGGTCCTCGTCCACAAGAGCTGCTTTTCTAATGGAGCTTCCACTGGCAAGGGATGGGTTTGCAATTCCCGTTTCAACTGTTGATGTCAATAGCCATTCTACCCGACTCTTCTCTCTATCGACCTTAGCAGCCCAGGTATGGACAGTACCTGCCCGGGTATAAGATAACGCTATGTCGGGAGAGAATATATCGAAGAATCCAGACATTTCAGCTTTAGGGCCTGCTGGGTCAACAGGCAAGATGTATGACATATCCTCCTCAATGCCCAGGTTGAAAGTGCAGAATTTCTGTAAGCAGCACTGGGAATTATGTGCCCCGTCCGCTTGCTTTGCTGCAGTTGGGAGGCGGATCTCCCAAGCTATTCCGTTCCTATCAGCCCCAATAGTTGCTATATATACCATTCCTTTTTCCGTTGTGGGGATTGGGAGAACACAAAGTGGTTTGCTTGATGACTGAAAGGTCGACGCAGCAATCTTCTTAGCATGAAAAGAGCGCAGGTCCCAGACAGAGATTCCATTGTGATGGAGATTGACAAGGAAATCCCCATTTTCAACCACACACGTGCGATGAATGTGTTCATCTGAGTATAGGGCGCTTTTGCGGATAAGCATTGACCCGCTATTCCTTCGTTTCTGTTTCCAAATCATTGCCTTGTTATCATCTGTACGTGAAACAAGAGTATCGCCGATCGCATTACGGACAATCTTTTTAACTGGGCCATTGTGTCCTGTCCAGGATGCTTTCAGGGCAATCCGGTGCTTGCGAGGGCTCGGATCGAATAATGTATCAATTTGTGAATCATACCATTCGATACGGCCATCGAAATGGTGCACAAGAATGGAAAGCGAATCACCTAACTGTGTACTTTGAAAAGCACATATTTGAGCATAATCTTCATCCGCAGACAGCCCCCGCATGAACGAGAAATCCAGTCCTTCTACATGGAGAATGTTGAAGGCGTTCAGGTCAGACTTGGATTTAGAGCCGACATCCTCGAGCGCCCACGCTGACATGTGGCCTTGGCCATCTATCACAACGCAGATTTCAGGGCTTTTATTGGCGACTTCGATTATATGCTCTAAAGCATGGTTTCCCTTGTTCCCTCCAGACCTCTGCACTGCCCGTTCCGTAGCTACACAGAAGTCTCTGCTATCAATGATGAAACCATATCGTCGAGACATATCCCTCTGGTCCGCCGTATGTCTTGGTTGGACAGAAGCGCCCATGTCGATTTGTGTCCATAGTTGTAGAGCGGTTGGAGAGTGATGTTCCATCATTGCCCAGACCCTGATCTTGCTGTCGGCGCATAGGGTGTAGAGGACATTATCGATAGATTGCTCTTTATGAAATGGCTTACGCCAGTGGGCACCCGTCACGATTGCTGGATGCGGAAGGTACGACACCTCGAACCGAACATCGTCCGCGCCAAACGACAGCCGTCTCCATACTTTGACTAGGCGGTCGTAGTATCCCGTCGTAATCACCAAAGTCGAGTCGGGAGAGAACAATGCAAATTTGACAGGATTCGCGAGCTTCTGCTTCCACACCGGACGCGCCACATCGTTCAGAAACCACAGTGTAAGGTGGGAATTCCCTAGGAGCAGCTCGTCAGGGGAGCCCCATGATAGGGTCCGGATCGTCTCATCGTCGTTCTCGTAACGGAATGTCTGGACAAGAGACCACTATACCGACAAGCCATCAGCATTCGCTCCTGCGCGTCCAAAAACCGCAACCGGGCAGCGGATATTTATTCCCTTTAATCCATCCTCATGGTAACGGACCTTTAATGTTTCATGCTTGATACCGTACGCTGGTAGATAAAAACATCCGGACCGCCGCACACAGCAATTTTGCCAGAAGCTTCATCAATCGTCACAGCTTCTAGGGATTCGGCATCGTCGACGTAGATGGTTTGTAGGAGCGTGTGGGGACCGCCGAGGATAACCAGCGCATGGCCGGAGATGTAAACCTGTAGCGAAGAAACGCAACGGGTCAAACGTTAGCCGAGCCTGATAACCGTGCATAACTCTATTGGAGGACTGAATTGTAGGTTCCCTTACGACGACACGGAGACCATCCCACAGCGCGGTGCTGAAAGACTGGAGCTTCGCTCGGGGCCTCCCTGGCAGTACCGCTCGCATAGAGGCGGGTAGTTGTTGAGTGTCGCTCGTTGCGCTCAGGATAGAATTACACCATTGCTAGGGAAAGAGAACCGGATGTTCGAGAAGGGCCTCAAAAACATCAAAAGGCGCAGGGAAATTGTCGAGGGCCTTGTTTCGCAAATAGAATAACGGAGGTAAGCTGGAGCTTGGGGAGGTCTAAAGTGGTCGAGTAAATTGGGGACTAATTAAATTACGTTGGTGTTCCGCCCACCGCTCCACTTGCCGCCGTGTGACTGAGCCATGTGGACAGTGACGTCCTTTATATGGATACAAATCCAGCAAACCAGAACGACGTACGTCAATAGGGAACCTATGTATCTTTCCGCTATACAGCGAGCCAGGGCTGCAAAGAGCTATATACTCGCAGTGGTCAACACGAAAACTAGTACCAGAATCTAGAATGCCACCTTCCAAAAACTCAACTATAAACTACGCGCCATCCATGTCTTGTAATGTGGGGTATCAAAAAACAAAGAAAAAAGCTCCAGCCTAATACCAAACAGCGCCAACATGGAAACGGAGAACAAAATAAGTAAGAAGACACTGTACATCCAAGATCGCTGCCCTAGATTTCTGAATTCTAGATCCGTCGGTTGGCGGACCTTCTAGCGTCCGTAGGTGATTCTGGCTCCTGGTCCACGAACCGAACGCTCGTGCCCAGAGCACTGCCCCGACCGTTGCGGGTTCGTAGGTGGGAACCAGATCTTGGTGCCGTAGTTCCTGCACGCAAAAGTCGACTGGCGAACGGCGTGTATAATGGTGTTGCAGGAGTCGTAGAGACCTGTGCGAGTGCCCTTGCCCGTACCGCCCGCTTGGATGGCGAGGTCAGGTAGTTAGGGGTGGTCAATGGAGTTGTCGAGACATTCTGGGTATCTGCAACAAAGCCGTTGGATTTGAAAGGCGTCTCGGTTTGATCCCAAGGGTCGAATACAGAGCGATTTGTCCTAAGATTCCCACCTGGACCGTCAAAGTTTCGTGCAGGGGTAACGAGAGGCCTCGAAGAATCCCGAGCCTCAAGGTTCATTCTCAACTTCTCCAACCAGTGGCGGAACATACTTCTTGAATGCCGTCTTAAATTCCTCTCTTTCATAGCCTCCGCTGTCTCATTAGTGCTTCTGATCTGGAAAACACGGAGACTAAGCCTGCGCAGGCAAACGTTCGCCTGCCCCAAAATATGTACGCGATACATGCTATCTGCTTGCTGATTTAGACGGTGGCATTCCAATAAGGCCTCTGCCAATCGTATCAACTGGTCGTAAGCGACTCTTCGTGCATGATAGACTTCAGCTTCGTGAATATCTTGAGTTCGCTTGGCACTTTGGTCATGCCATCGTTGCAGGAGTTCAGACGCAATGCTCAGTGATTTTCTTCGGCTAAATTGCAAGGCCTGCTGATCCATATCGAATACATCATGGGCCCTCGCACGCCAGTTTTCCAGAGCGTTCGCAGCAAGGTTCATCTTGACCTTTCTTCGTGTCTTCGCGTAAGCTGCCTGGCGGCGCCGCTTAGAGGACTCCAATGTGGCCGCATGCCACTTTTTCAGGGTCTTCGTAGCCGCGAAGTAGAACTGTGCATTGCTAGCCCATCCTTGGAGTTTGATCACGTGTTGCGATTTCGATCGCCAGGCTATCAGCGACTCTTGAAGCAGCCGTGGTGCATAGAATTCAAAGGCAACGAATTCTCGGTGACGCTGAAGCGCGAACTGATCGCGCCAGCAGATTAGCTTGGCCTTTAGCAGCTCTTCATTCCGACGATCTTCGTGTACTTCGGCATGGTCAAGTAGACGAGTGTAGGTTCGACGAACATTGGTTACGAATCTGGAAAACACCTCGCGCGTGATCCGTTGATCTCGAATCCGCTGCATAAGAGAGAATCTCTCCGCCAATATCCATTTATACATCGTTTCGATTTTCAGCCGTTCTTCAATTCGCGCACTGAGGGCCTGACAGCGAAGCAGGTCATTCCAAGTTGTCCACGAGTTACGTAGGATCCTCAGACGGTTCATTTCTCTTGCGTGTTGCAGCATTCGGATCCGCTTTACCCACTGAACATAAGCGGCTTGGAGGATTCGTCGATCAACCATGCCAGACACACGAGAAGCGGCAGGGGCAAGATGGGATTGGATTTTCCATTCTCCAAGAGTTTTGTGTAGAAGGTGTTGACGCTGCTTGATTGTTGCCTCCTGTTTGCCAGCAACGATCGCTTTAGACCTTCGGGACCACACTTGCCATGCTGAACTAAGCGCCAGATGTTTGTTCTTGACTTCTATCTCATGATTGCGCTCTCTGTTTGTTCGGAACTTCCGCAACCAGTACAACAATGACCGCCTCTTAAGGCAATAGTCATACCATTGGGGAGCACGTCGTTCGCAGAAAGACCAGAACCATCTCCAATACATGCCGTGTAATAGTTTCTTGTCATGGGCAACAGCCACCTCTTTCTCCGAATCCTTTATATGATCGACCTTCCTCTTCCAGATATTGAATGGTCGCCGTAATGCGAATCTTTGGGCTTTCAACTCGTTAACAGCGGTTATTTCGCGCCATGCGTTGAAGTATTTAACACTTAAAACGTGTTTTCGTGCTGCGGAAGTCCTTGCGACTTCTTCCGAAGCGACCTGCGCCCAGTGGGTAAAAGCTTTAGTCACGAGGTAGAGATCGCGGGCCCGGGAAGCGCGCTCTTCTAGATGCTTAAAAAAGCGGTCGGTCTGTGCTGCTCGCCGTTGCGTTTGAATGATCGAATGCCATGTCTCGAAAGCTTGACGAAGGAGCGTGCCTCTGTCGCGATTAATGGCGACAACTTCCATATGCTGGTGGCTTTGTCGAGTTTGGATGGCTTTCTTCAACCATTGTGTAAGTAACCGCCGGTTAATAGCACGTTGACGATACATGTTAAATGTTGACGCATCGCGTAGCAAATCGGAGAGCGATGGCCTATACAGCAATTCCGGTGGAACTTCGGGCTTCTCTACAGAGTCATCGCCTTCAGCAGATAGGGATGAACTGTCTGCATCTCCGTCAGAGCCTTCTGAGCTTAATGAGCGTCGTGTACGTGACCGGGAGGCTTTGGCCATCCTCTTTGAGCGATCTCGATCAACAGCAGACCTGGCCTGTACACCATTAGAGACATGATCTTCGTTGTTTTGTCTATCCGTATCCCTATCCAAAAGATCCATTTTATTCATAAGGCGGCGTCCAACATCCAGAAACTGTGCAATCAGCTGAGTTCTGTCAGTCGAATCAGCCTGCTTAGTGAGCGCGCGTTTTGGTGATGGTCTGGTACTAGGGAAGTCGGGTTTGTCCATTGGCAGGCGGGACAAGGAAGAGCGCGAACTTGGGCGATTGGCGAAACTCCTTTGCGTAGGGTCATCACCAACGTCATACATGGAATTGAACGATGCTCGCCTCCTTGGGGTGGGCTGTGTGGTGCTTTCTCTGTAAGTGGTGTCACGATCGACCTTCGCTTTGAGCCGGCCATCTGTTGAAGGCACACTGTCCGCATAAGTGTCATTGCCTTCATCTTCGTCTTCACCAAATTCAATGACTATTCCCATCCGCTCAAGTAGGTTCTCGAATTTCTCAAAGAGGGAATCGCCTAAGATATTCTTGCTTCCCATTTTGAGTAAGAAGCGCAAGCAGGCATAGCCTGGATCTGGATCCACGCCATGTTCTGCGATGACTTCATCGTACGCTTTGAATAGCACTCTGTATGGAAGGCGCTCCACCTCTGGGTCTCGCTCAGCGCGGGTGATAACTTGATAGAGAAGGCCGACATCTAACATACAGGAACCGGTTATTTAAGCAAGTTCGGATGAAGCTTCCATGGGATCACGCATTACGCACCTTCGTCTGAAAGCGACGGGTCTTCATAGGACAAGTGTCTACGCTGAGGGGGTACGGGAGGCATCGAACTGTCCGCGACCTAGGGCGCGTTTTTCGCAGAAAGGTCATGGAGGCGGGAAACGAAATCAACCATTGCGAGGCACAGGGTTGGACGTGAAACAAGAACCCACGGGGCCTCAAGCCTGCCAGTCAAGAAAAAAGCGATGGTAAAGGAGGATCAAAATCGAAGCCGTTCGCTGAAGCGATTGGACGGCTGAGACTAGGCTTCGTCCCCAACCTCCAACAATTGTTTTGCTTGTCGCGCGGAACCCAACATGGAATGTAGCGGTCATGTGATGCGGTTACGTAATATCATATTCCCTCTGCATTGCATCAAATCAAATCACTTCAGGCCAGCCAAAGAAAAATAATAGCAAAATCAAGGAGAAAATGCCATCAACAAGAACAAGGCCTATTGAGAAATTTGCAAAGGCCACGTCAAAATGCTCTGCAGAGGTATACACCTGCTCTATGGTCCTGCCATGACACTAGCTGACCGATTCTCAGGCAGCGGCATATGGCAAGTGCATTGTGGCTGACTACAATTCGGTCCACAAAGACATGTGTGCTAAAGAGTTCATGAAGCTCAAAGACTGCTTCCTGGTAAGGTGTAAGATCGAATTTCTGAGAGTCGAATATTAATCTGGAGTTGCTGATAGGCAGCGTCGAAGAAGGTTTGAAGGAAGACGGTGAGACAAGTTACGATGTCAAATCTCAGGTGCATGCATTGAGCGCAGACCTCCTCCTTTATTCTTTTCTTTTCTTTTTAGATTTATTTGTTGTTATTTTACTCGAGATGAAATAGGCCCACTATTTCTCAGGCAAATCCATGTATAAAATGTAATTTTATAGACAATGCTATCGTTTTAACACACTCGCGGAAACACAAACATATAAGCTATCAACAAACAGAATCTAATCACTGGCATGACACATCTAGTAACTCGAATGTCTAGAGTTTAAGCAACCTCAGCATGAAAGTTGCTTTCTGGACTTCTTGTTCCTCCTCCATGATCATGCGTTCCTCATCTCCACCGGGGACCTTGCCATCAACAAGCTCGAACCGTTCGAGGGGTCTACGCACAACCTTCTCAATGGCCTGGGCTTGCGTCTGGAAGGCTTCACCCAGACCGATATCCTCAGGATCCGAGAGAATTGCGTATTCCATCTTGACATCATCAGTGGGGACTAAGCCGGCCTTCTTACGAAGACGCTGCAGTCGGTTAATGATTTCTCGACCCAGTCCTTGATGCGCCAGCTCCGGGTGCAGGTTCGCATCCAAGATGGTCAACACGTCATCATCGGCGTTGGGCTCCATACCCTCGGAAGATGCATCTTCCTTGACACCCCGTCTTACGATAAGGTCTCCTTCAATAAGCTCAATACCATCCACAATTATTTTCTTGTCTGAGACAAACTTCTTCACATCATTGCTGGTGAGAGAAGGCAAAGACTTCTTGACCTTTTGAGCATCCTTCTTCAGCTTCTTTCCGAGGGTCGGCCAATCAGCAGTCACGCTATACTGGACATTGTACTTCTCCTCATCAGATGACAAGATGAGCTCGATAATGTTCAGTTCTTCGAGAATGTAGCTTTGCAAGGACTTCACGTCCTCAAGGAATTGCGGATCTTGATGGATGACGACAAGCGTCTTCAAAGGAGTCTTCAATCCAAGGGCGCGGCGCTCACGGGATACACGACCCATTTCGATAACCTTCTGCATCCGGGCTACACGCCTCTCAACAACCTCATCGAACAGTTCCTCACGCACCTCGGGGAATGGAAGGAAGTGAACACTGCGGCTATCTTCACTACGGAGAGCCTCTGGGATGTGGGGAAGGAGCTTCTGATAGATGGTATCGGTAAGGAATGGGGTGAAAGGAGCAAGTCCTCTGACCAATGTATAGAGGACCTCAAAGAGGGTGTTAAGGGCGTGCAAAGTGTCGTCAACGCCGTTTTCACCCTTCAGACGCCTCCGGTTAAATCTGATGTACCAGTTGGTAGTGTTGTCAATGAGTCCGAGCAAGCGAGGAACAACAGTGTACAATCGGTATCCTGCCATCTCCTCATTCACAAACTTGAGAAGACTCTGGCAGCTTGCCAAAATCCAGCGGTCCATGACATTGGTATTGGTGGCTTCTGCCTCAGGATCAAAGACGTAGTCAACACCCTGGGACTTCTTAAGAAGAGCCACCTGACCCTCAAAGAATTTGTAGCTGTTCCAAAGAGGAAGGAGCACCTTGGCGACAATCTCCTTGACACCGGTTTCCTTGAATCTGAGTGGCTCCGCGCGTACAACGGGGGAGTTAATCAGATACAGACGGAGAGCATCAGAGCCGTATCTGTTCATGATAAGAGAAGGATCGGGGTAATTCTTCAATCTCTTAGACATCTTCTTTCCATCTTCAGCAAGGACGATGCCATTTACAACACAGTTCTTGAAGGGCAATTTGCCAAAGAGATGAGTACCCAAAACAGTCAGGGTATAGAACCAGCCACGAGTCTGGTCCAATCCTTCGGCAATGAAGTCGCCGGGGAAGCTGTTCTCGAACTGTTCCTTGTTCTCAAATGGGTAATGCTGAGAAGCGTACGGCATGCTGCCTGATTCAAACCAGCAGTCGAACACCTCGCTCACGCGGCGGAGAACACCCTTGCCTTGCTTGCTGGGGATAGTAATCTTATCCACTTTATCGCGGTGAAGATCAGTAAGTTCGCCCTGGTAGCCACTGAGTTCCTTGAGCTCTTCGGCACTGCCCACAGCGACAATTTCTTTGTAGTCGTCGCTGACCCACAAGGGCAAAGGCGTACCCCAGAATCGGTTTCTAGAAATGTTCCAGTCTCGGGCATTCTGAATCCAACTGGAGAATCGCTTCTCCTTCACAAATGAGGGCACCCAGTGGGAGTCCTCAATGCCCTCAAGCATCTGAGGAATGATACCGGGGATCTTGACAAACCAAGCGGGCACAGCTCTATAGATCAGAGGAGTGTCGGAGCGCCAGCAGAATGGGTAACTGTGAGTGATCTGACTATCAACGATCAAGCGGCCAGTTCCCTTGAGGTACTTGATGATAGGCTTGTCGGCAGCTTTGACATGTTGACCCACAAAGTCGCGGATCTCACTTGTATAGCATCCCGTCTCGTCGACAGGATTAGGTGGCAAGCGCGTTTCGCTAATAACGCCGCCTTCCATGCCAACCCTGTAATCGTCCTCACCAAAGGCAGGGGCCTGGTGAACAATACCAGTACCATCCTCAGCCGTAACATATTCGGCGTTCAACACGCGGTAACCGTAGTCTTTAAATTCTTCATAGAAGTAATCAAACAAAGGCGTGTATTTCCAGTCCTTCATGGCGGAACCCTTGAATCGATCAACAATCTTGAATTTGGCCTTCTTGGGATCTTTGTAGAGCGTCCGAAGCAAGGATTCAAGGAGAATGTAATGTTTGCCCGAGGCTTCATCAAAAATCTTGATATATTCAAAGGTAGGGTGAACTGCAAGACCAGTATTCATCGGCAGGGTCCAAGGGGTGGTGGTCCACGCAAGCAGGCACGTCTCAGGGTCTTCCACCAGAGGGAATGTCACCACGACTGCAGGATCTTGAACATCCTTGTAATTTTGTTGTGCTTCAAAGTTACTGAGGGGGGTATTGAGAGCAGTGGAGTAAGGCATAACGCGGTAGCCTCTGTAGACTAGGTCCTTATCGAAGAGTTGCTTGAAAACCCACCATACGGACTCCATGAAGGATGGGTTCATGGTCTGTATAGATCATTGCAATAAATCGTCAGCAATCCCATACTGAATACATATAAATGGCCTCCAAGAGGGCATTTTTCCCCGTTCCTTGGAAAAGTCAAAATAGGACATCGGTTGGGATTCTACCTTGTAGTCATTGTCAAAATCGATCCACCGGCCAAGTCTCTCAATAGTTTCTCTCCATTCAGATGCGTATCTCATAACAATGGCTCGGCACTCCTCGTTGTACTTTTCAATTCCAAGCTTCTCGACAGCTTCTAAGCCCGACATGCCCAACTTCTTGTCGATTTCATATTCGATGGGGACACCGTGCGTATCCCAGCCGAATCGTCTCTCGACATAATGACCCTTCATAGACCAGTATCTAGGAATGATATCTTTAATAGTGGAAGCCAGCAGATGGCCATAGTGAGGAAGACCGGTCGCGAACGGAGGACCATCGTAGAAAGTGTACGGTTTGCGGCCACGAGAGAGCTCGACTTGCCTCTGGAAGGCGTTGATCTCCCTCCACCGCTTGAGGGTAAGTTCCTCCTCCTTAGGGAAGTCAATCGACATGACGGGCGAACGTTCTGTCTTGACGTGTGGGTGCGAGTTTTCCAAAGGAGGGATGGCCGCGGGGTAAAATAAAAAGACGGATGCAGAAATGAGTCAACCCCGCGGAGCCGAATTTTTGCCAAGCCCCTTACTCAAATTACAGTGCGCCCTGCCGTAGACTCCTAAGGCAAGAAAAATGGATAGTAGTAGGTACCCAAGGCAATTGCCCTTCTATGTATGTACAGTAACATCATGGCTTCTACAACACTCCTTGATGATGCTTGACCTTGACCATCTCAAATTTAACGGCATAAAACAGAGATTACGGCATATATAGCCATGGGAATCATGCCATGTCATGTCTTCTTGTTCATTTATTCCTCATCGTCTTCATCTTCCTCCTCGTCATCATCGTCATCTTCCTCGGCTTCGGATACTTCCTGGCCAAGGTCTTTCAGGCGTTTCTAGAGAAAGTATAAGTTAATTGTAACTCTTTGGTATTACTATTGAGTCACTCACCTTGTCTTCGTTCCTCTTAGCCTCCAAGTCTCCGAATACAATTAGGAGGTCCTCGAGTTCGGATTGAGCTGATTTGCGGGCTTCTTCTTTCTCCTTAATCTCTGATTTCATCTTTTCCAGCTCTTTCTGCAACTCATCAATCTCTTGGGCGGATTTCTGCGCAGCCGATTCGTTCTCCTTTGCCTTGCGAGCTTCCTCGGCCTGGTCCTTGGCTTCTAACTTGACCTTCTCCAACTCTTTTTGCAACTCTGCGATTTCTGTTTGGGTTGATTTGCGAGCTGCTTCTTTATCCTTCATTTCTGACTTGGCCTTTTCTAGCTCTTTTCGCAATCCTTCTGCTTCGGATTTAGTCGACTTGCCTGACTTGCGAGTTGTGTCTTCTGTTTTCTTAGCTTCTGACTTGACTTTCTCCAGCTCTTTCCGTAACCCGTCTGCTTCAGACTTTGCCGATTTGCGAGCTGCGTCTTCTGCTTTCTTAGCTTCCGACCTGACTTGCTCCAACTCTTTCCGTAAGCCTTCTATTTCGGAGCTCGCTGACTTGAGAGCTGCATCTTCTGTTTTCTTGGCTTCGGACTTGACTTTCTCCAGCTCTTTCCGTAATCCGTCTGCGTCAGACTGTGCTGATTTACGAGCCGCGTCTTCTGCTTGTTTAGCTTCGGCCTTGACTTGTTCCAACTCTTTCCGTAACCCTTCTGCTTCAGACTTTGCCGATTTGCGAGCTGCTGCTTCTTTTTCTTTGACTTCAGCCTGTACCTTCTTCAACTTTTCTCGTGCCTCTTGCAGTTCTTGTGCGGATTTGCGCTCAGCTGATTCACTGTACCCCACTTTTCGCTCCGCCTCTTCAGCTCGCTTTTCTAGAGCAGCACACTTGGAGGTATAGTCGTCATGTACGGCCTGGATATCTTGCGTGGCTTTTTCTTTGGACGTTTCGAGTTCCTTTTGTAATCTCTCGTTTGTGCTTTTAAGTTCAGCAATGTTGCTCTCGCTTTGTTGCTGGAGAGTCTTAACCTCTGACTGTAGACTCTGGATAGTTTGGTTGAGCTTGGATACCTCAGCAGCATGTTGTTTCTGGCTCTGACTGGCCTCGGATTCCAGCTTCTGAGCAGTGATGCGCAGGTTTGAAACTTCTTCTGCATGATCTTCCTCTGCCTTGCCAGCACTGGATCTCAAAGCTTGGATAGTAGCTTTCAGATTAGCAACCTCTCCGGTATGCTGTTCTCTGGCCCTTCCAAATTCCGCTTCTAGCGATTGGATCTTCTTCTGTAGATCGGCCAACTCAGCTTCATGGTGCTGTCTAGCTGTGTAGCTCTTTCTCTCGTATTCGGCGGAAGTCTCTTTCATCTGATAGTCGATGGACCTGAGCTGCTCGCCATACTGCTTTACAAGCTCATTCTTCGCGTTTTGATGTTGCTCCTCCAGCGCGGCTAGTTCTTGCGCATGATGTTTCTGAAGCGACTCGTTGATTTGCTGTATCCTAGCCATTTCTATGGCACCGGTTTCCCGGGATTTCCTGTATTCGAGCTGCTCTTGCTCAAGTCTATTCTGCAGGGCGACTAGATCCGACTCCAGTCTCTGCACTGCCTGGCTCCTTTCTTCGACTTCAGCTTTCAGAGAATCGACCAGTTCGCGCGAGACTCCTCTCTCAACGCCATTCGTAATGACTGATATCTCCAAACCTGGTTCACGATCGATGGCGCGAGTCATACGGCCGAAGTTATCTTTGAGGAAGTCCACGAATGTCTTGTCAAAGAATATCTCGGGCAGCCCACCCTCGTACTGCCCGCCGACCGTTTGTGGCAAGACTTCAAAGTCCCGGACTATAGGAGATTCTCTGAACCTTGTTATCTTATCAATATATTGCTCTCTGCCCATTTGTTCGGTCAGTAATTGGTGCAGAGTCTTGCGAGGTATGGGCGAGTCCTTCGAGGAGAATTCGTATATGACACCTAATAGAATAGTGCATAGGCCAGAAATGAGCACGTTAGAAACATAGCGATGTTTGATTTCTTGCAATAAGCTTTGAATGCTGCTGCCTTCTCCTAGAAAATCATTGACTGCATCAGGTTCTTCAAAAAGCCAACCACAGAGTAGCATCAGGTATCCAACGGAGATTCTTTCGTCGTCACCTCGTTGCATGCCGGTAAGTAAGTTGCCAACTATTGACTGAATGCAAGTGATTACTTCCTCCCCGCTCTCAGCATCGCCTTCAGTAACCCCCATAGCGATTGCTTTCGCCTCGGCGTTCTCAAAGAGTAGGTGGAACATCAGAACAGAAGCCATCCAAGTTTGATACGGGTCAGCATTCCCACGAGATTCTGGTGGAAGAAGCAGAGCGGTCAAGATATTTGGGATTTCATCTTGTCCGCTCAAATGACCATCGATGGCTCTGCGTAGAACATGGACGCGGATACCGGCATGGTTCGCGAAGAAGGCCTTGATACATTCACAGGCAGCTAGGCGCGCATCGAGAAGCTGTAGTGTAGCAGGTTCAAGGCTCAACTTGAGTAATGCTTCAATTACATTGATTCGTTGAAGTCCTTTGTTTGCCAGGTCTCCATTAGAAGCGCCTTCTGTAGGCTGTGCGCCCCAGAAGACCTCAACATCCCCAAATCTCTCCTGTAATGGCTCGTTCCCCCGAATTAGATCGGCACATGTTGCCAGTGCCTAGATAAGTCAGCACCACCCAGCAAAAATCAGGGTTATAATAGTCAGTAGACAAACCTTGGACGTAACATTGACACTAAACCTCTGACTGAAGGCTGTGCTCAAGACTTGTTCCATAACGCCACTGTGCCAGAAGGCCATTTGATTGGCAGGAGTATTAATCCCACCCCGAACTAGGAATAGCTGAATAATAACCAGAAGACCCCAAATGTTCTTGTCTCGCTGGGCAAGGGTCCATTGTGGAGTGGGTTCATCTGATTCCTGCTCATGGTTGGCATCAGCAAGGAGCTTTGCCAGTCGCTTGACGCATCCCGTCTCCCGAAAATAGGACTGATTGGATATATTAAGCCTCAGAAGGTTCGCGAGCAAAGAGAGACAGTCTTCGACGACTTCTGACCCGTGTGACAAAGAGCCTTCTTTTTCAATCAGGACAAATAGAAGGTCGAACGCATTTTCGAAGGCAACCAGTTTTTGCAACTCCTCCGAAGCAGGCGTTAAGGCAATGAGGAGCAGTAAGGCTTCTAGAGACAAGAGGGTTGTTAACAAGAGGAACCGTAATAGTTGCATAACGATTTCACGGATTCTATCCTTAGCGTACCATTGCGAACTGGCTCCCGAGCGTCACCCAGGGCACTGACTAGCCTTGGAATGCCCAACGGAGCTGTTAGAATACATTCCTGTGTCCTCTCTGGGCGCGCACTAGAAATTTGAAATATCAATTGCAAAGAATATAAGCGGGAGTAAAAGTCGCGAGTATCAAGAAGGTCAAGAAGAGCTGTTATATTGTCTTGTCGCTTTCGCTCCGTTAGCAACAGAAGCAGCTGGTGGATATTGGGGTGGCACACCTGAGTAAACTCATCGGATAGCCAGAGAGCTATTTCATCAGATGCTTCAGGCTGAGTAATATTCATCAGTGTACGCAATTGATACACACGGTAGCAGGGATAACTAACGCTACTCTCATCGGGGGAAAATAACATCAACAGGGCCTCCAAGACCACCTTGACCGTATCCACATCTTCTCGATCATTTCTGAGACAGCTTATCAACGGTCGCAGCGCACCAGATGCAACAGAGGCAGGATATATCTTCGCGAAGCTTCTCAGACCTTGAATTGCTGCACGTCGGTCTTCCAGTAGTGTCGCACTTTGAAGTCTACTGCTGAGAGTGTTGATTGTATCCGTTGCCGTTTGTTTGGCCGGCGCCTGCGATTCAAGAATTCGAAACATCGTTATCGATAGCTTGTAATATCATTCTCACCGCCAGCTGCGGGTATACCAAGCATTAGGCATTGAACGACTGAGAAATAAACCCTCCGGCTGTGGGGTTTGTTCACAAACAAGGTGAGTTGTTCATTCCGAAGCTCCCCAAGAACAATAATAGTTAGACTGCTCGGGCCTTCCACCGTGCCAAGGGTCCGCTAAGCTTAACTCCCGGAACCGCGATAAGAGAAGCGCCGAACACCGCATTCAAGTGTACTCGACGGGTACTGGCACCGCAGAGACTTTCCAGGTCTTGATTTCATCGCCCCTTGGACTTTGCAAGGGCCGACTTTCATTAACCTTGCGCTTCTGTTTCTCACTGCGCATTTTTTTTTTCCTGGTTCACAGTATTTGCAGGGAGAACGCTCTTGCAGGCCCAGTGAGCTATCCAGATTAGAAGTCCGGAATTGCGACAGCCCATGGAGTCTGCTACGAAGTTTATCTGAATCGCGATAATTTCCTCTTTCGCCTCCCCACCGTACTTTATACATATCTAGCTTTTACCGGTTTTCACGTCTCTTACATTAGCCATAATGGGTGTTCCCGCGCTATTCCGTTGGCTCTCCAACAAATATCCGAAAATCATTTCGCCCGTTATTGAGGAGCAGCCCTACGAGGTCAATGGAGAACAGATCCCCGTCGACACCACGCGTCCGAACCCCAATGGGGAGGAGTTGGATAATCTATACCTGGACATGAACGGTATCGTCCATCCATGTACTCACCCAGAGGGAAAGCCTCCACCGGCGAACGAGCAGGAGATGATGTTGGAGATCTTCAATTACACCGACCGAGTTGTGAATATGGTCCGCCCGAGGAAACTCCTGATGATCGCTGTTGGTATGTTATCCTTTGTCTCAAATGATATTCTGATGCTAAACCGCTAACAATCTTAAAGATGGTGTTGCGCCGCGAGCAAAAATGAACCAACAGCGCGCACGTCGTTTCCGCTCTGCGCAGGAGGCTAAGGAGGCTGATGAGAAGAAGGAAGAATTCCGGAAACAGTTCCTCAAGAAGAGCAAAGGAGATCAGGAGATTCACGAAGAAGTTATACAGAAGACGTGGGATAGCAACGTCATCACCCCCGGAACTCCTTTCATGGACATTCTCGCTGCATCCCTGCGCTACTGGATTGCGTATAAGCTCAACACGGATCCAGGTTGGGAGAAGGTTTGTCACTGGTACCCAATTTATTGAAACCACGTCTAACCTGTGCAGCTCAAAATCATCATTTCGGATGCGACAGTCCCGGGAGAAGGAGAACACAAAATCATGGAGTTTGTCCGGTCGCAACGAGCTTCCCCAGAGCATGACCCCAATACTCGCCACGTGATATATGGTTTGGTAGGCTTGTTGAACGATTTATGACCGGTTGACACAGATAACTAATATTTTTCAGGATGCCGATTTGATTATGCTGGGTCTCGCTACTCACGAGCCTCATTTCAGAGTACTTCGAGAAGATGTGTTCTTTCAGGAGTCTAAAGCCCGAACGTGCCACTTATGCGGCCAGGCAGGCCATAAGGCTGAAGAATGCAGGGGCCAGGCAAAGGAGAAGAGCGGACAGTTTGATGAAAAGGGCAAAGGCCAATCACTCAAACCATTTATTTGGCTCAATGTTTCTATCCTCCGGGAATATCTTGCCGTCGAGCTGTACGTTCCGCATCAACCGTTTCCCTTTGACCTGGAACGAGCCTTGGATGATTGGGTCTTCATGTGCTTCTTCGTAGGTAATGATTTCCTGCCGCACTTGCCCTCTTTAGACATCCGGGAAAACGGCATCGATACTTTGATAGCAATATGGCGGGATAATATTCCTGTTATGGGAGGTTACTTGACCAAGGATGGCCATGTTGATTTCAAAAAAGCTCAACTTATTCTGCAAGGGCTTGCAAAGCAGGAAGATGCTATTTTCCGCCGCCGCAGGCAAGTTGAAGAGAGAAAGCTCGCGAATGAGAAGAGGCGCAAGGAAGAAGCACAGGCCCGAGACCGTGCCAGGAAACGACGAAGGAGCTCACCTAACTATGAAGCCTCTGAGCCTCCCGCAAGCAACAGAGCCCGCGGCGGCGGCGGCGGCGACTCAGCGCCACCTAATGATGTGGAGTTAATCATACCTGGTCGAGGAGAACTATCACGAGAAAACCGAGAGCTGACACACAGCATGGTGGTCAACCGTGGGGCTGTCTATCGGGCTAATATGGCTAACAAGAGCGCTGCGGCTATCTTGAAGAGCAAACTTATGAAAGGTTCGCAGGAGGGTGACGACGCTGCAGAGTCCACGCCGATGCCAGACGCAGACGGACCTTCGGACAATAAAGCAGAACCGACATCGCCATCCGTTCTTGGCAAAAGAAAGGCAGATGAGCCAGAGGATGAGACAGAAACACCGGCCGACAACACGGACTCTACTCCTAAACCTTCCAAAGATGATGAGATGCCTCCTGATACTGTCCGCCTCTGGGAGGAGGGCTACGCTGATCGTTATTACGAGCAGAAATTTGGCGTTGATCCTCAGGACAAAGAGTTCCGCCATAAGGTCGCACGAGCATACGCTGAAGGCCTAGCGTGGGTTCTTTTGTATTATTTCCAAGGGTGCCCATCATGGAATTGGTATTATCCTTATCATTACGCACCCTTTGCGGCTGACTTCGTGGATATCGGTGATATGGAGCTCTCTTTTGAGAAGGGAACGCCCTTCAGGCCATTCGAACAGCTCATGGGAGTCCTTCCAGCTTCGTCAAACCACGCCATTCCCGAAGTGTTCCACGATCTCATGCAGGACCCCAAGAGTGAGATTATTGATTTCTACCCTGAAGATTTTGCTGTGGATTTGAATGGCAAAAAGTTCGCTTGGCAAGGAGTTGTTCTGCTACCGTTCATTGACGAGAAGAGACTTCTGACCGCCATGGAAAAGAAATACCCTTTGCTCTCCGATGATGAGAGGCATCGCAATACTGTTGGCCGAGAGGTCTTGCTGCTATCGGACGGCCACCCTCTATACCAGGACTTGGTCGCCAATTTCTACTCGAAGAAGCAGGGTGCCCCCAAATACACGTTGAATATGCGAGTAAGTGAAGGGTTAGCAGGTAAAGTCGAGCGCAACGAAACGTATATCCCACATAGTTCGTTGGTATCTTCGCTCGAAGAATACGGCATGCCCACTTTGGAGGATGACCGGTCCTTAACGTAAGTTTCTGTTCTCTCCCTCCCTAGCTTCCATTTCTACTACGGCTGGCTGATATGTGTAAAGGGTCAACTATGAAATCCCCAAATCAAGTCACATCCACAAATCGATGTTGCTACGAGGCGTCAAATTTCCTCCCCCTGCGCTGGACAATGCCGACATTCAGGCTACCAAATCTAAAGCTCAGCACTCGGGCCGTTCGTTTGGCGGCGCACCGTTTCGCGGTGGCCATGGCAATAGGGGTGGACGAATCAACTACGCAAGCGACCGACCAAACGACCGACCAAATCCTTTTGCAGCACATCTCGATCCCAACTTCATGCCCCCGGCCAATTCAGGCGCTCAGGGGATGCCTTCTGGCTGGGCTCCCCCAGTACCAGGATCTGCGAACTTCTCCCGGGGTCCCCCACCCCCTCCTCGCGGAAACCACCGGAATCATTATGGCTCAGGACATTCTCAGCAACAAGGTTATCAGCAGACGAACTATGGGCGAAACGACCACTACGGCCGCGGTCAGCAGGGACATCAGCATCAGGGATCCTACGGCAACCAATCCGGTCAATATAACGGACGGCAGTCTGGCTACGGAGGGGCTGACTATCGGGGTGGAGGTTATCAACGCGGAGGATATCAAGGCCAAGGCCAAGGTCGGGACTACTACAATTCCAGGAACCAGGGTGGATATGGTCGGTATTAAGATCGTCTCATTTGGTTAGTTGCTTAATAGCAGCCATGTATACATTCCGTGTACTTTTTTTTGCAGATATGTGTGTTTATGTTTTGAACCGCTAAGGAACGGAGTTCTTGGATACCAGTGAGAAAAGATGTGAAAAGAGCATCAGGTCGGATGGGTTCAGAAAAGATATGTGATATAACAGATACAAATTCTATAGCGATCAATCAATACATGACATGATGGACGATCACTGGCATCAATATCAATTCTGTAGATCCCGGTCTGTTTGGCCAGATACCCAAACGGGAAAGCGGTACGGAGTACGGCCGGCGCAAATCATTGGCAGTTTTACGAATCCGGGGCGACATCGGAGAACGAACGGTGAGTCAATTCATCTTCATCCGGTGGAATTTTTGGTACAACACTACCGCTTACTACGAGGGCAAAGACCATAAGCTCTCGTTTTCGCGTTTTGTCCTGTTTCTTTTTTGCTCGGAGCGATTGGAGTCAGATTTCCTTGAGTCATCTGTCAGCAATTGCTTTTTTAAAAAAGAATTATCCTTCTTGACCTTTTTTATTTTCCGAGCCCTGCCCCGCTCCAGATCTCACTGACAAGTGATCGATTCAACGTGCGATTCTCTACCAACTTCAGGGTCGGTGGTTGCGATTGTGCGTCAGACGAACCTGGAGCTCTTGTAATTATCCACAGCATGAACTAAAACGACATATCGATTTCCTTTCACGTCAAATACTATTGCAAATCACCTTGGTTACTACCTAGATCCCGTGCGACTCCAACCATGGCCGAACCCACTAAGATAAAGATTTTGGGGCAGGAGAGTATAATCGCTGATTTCGGCCTTTGGCGTAACTATGTCGCTAAGGACCTGATCAGCGGCTGTCCCTCCACAACCTACGTTCTCATCACCGATACGAACATCGGATCGATATATACCCCCGGATTCCAAAAGAGCTTCGAGGATGCCGCCGCCGCCGTTTCCCCCGCCCCACGGTTGTTAGTATACCATTGTCCACCAGGGGAGGTCTCCAAATCCCGACAGACTAAAGCAGATATCGAAGATTGGATGTTGAGCCAAAGTCCCCCATGTGGCCGTGACACTGTGGTTATTGCGCTGGGCGGAGGTGTCATTGGAGATCTCACTGGATTTGTGGCCTCGACGTATATGCGTGGTGTTCGATATGTCCAGGTTCCGACGACCCTCCTCGCCATGGTGGATTCTTCAATTGGTGGAAAGACTGCGATTGATACTCCGCTGGGAAAGAACTTGATCGGCGCAATCTGGCAGCCGACAAGGATCTACATTGACCTGGAATTCTTGGAAACGCTTCCCGTTAGGGAGTTCATTAACGGCATGGCTGAGGTTATCAAAACGGCTGCCATCTCTAGTGAAGAAGAATTCACTGCATTGGAGGACAATGCTGAGGTGATCTTGACTGCTGTCCGGAGTGAGCGTAAGCGGGGCCAGCGTTGGTTTGAGGGTATTGAGGATATTCTGAAGGCACGGATCCTCGCATCCGCTCGTCACAAGGCCTATGTTGTCTCTGCAGATGAACGAGAGGGCGGCCTCCGAAACCTTCTCAATTGGGGTCACTCCATTGGCCATGCTATCGAAGCAATTCTCACTCCTCAGGTTCTTCACGGAGAGTGTGTTGCTATTGGTATGGTAAAAGAAGCAGAGCTTGCCCGGCACCTTGGCATTCTCAAGGGTGTTGCTGTAGCTCGGATTGTCAAGTGCATCGCCGCCTACGGATTGCCCACGTCTTTGAAAGATTCGCGCATTAGAAAACTCACTGCCGGAAAGCATTGCTCGGTTGACCAGCTGCTTTTCAACATGGCTCTCGATAAGAAGAATGATGGTCCGAAGAAGAAGATCGTTCTTTTGTCGGCTATTGGACGCACATACGAGCCAAAGGCTAGTGTAGTTCCCAATGAGGATATCGGCGTTGTTCTTGCCCCGAGCATCGAAGTACACCCTGGCGTAGAGCCAGCATCTAATGTTATCTGCATTCCTCCAGGCTCAAAGAGTATTTCCAACCGAGCTTTGGTTCTTGCTGCTCTTGGTTCTGGAACTTGCCGCGTCAAGAATCTACTGCATTCCGACGACACTGAAGTCATGCTGAACGCTCTGGAAAGACTCGGTGCCGCAACTTTCTCCTGGGAGGAGGAGGGTGAAGTGCTTGTAGTAAATGGCAAAGGCGGAAACCTTCAAGCAAGCCCCTCTGAGCTCTACCTCGGTAACGCAGGTACTGCCTCTAGATTCCTCACCACTGTCGCAACCCTTGCCAATGCAAGCACCGTAGATTCAAGCGTCCTCACTGGCAACAACCGCATGAAGCAAAGACCCATTGGCGACCTTGTGGATGCACTGACAGCAAATGGTGCTTCGGTCGAGTATATGGAGCGGAAAGGCAGTCTCCCTCTCAAGGTAGCTGCGTCTGGCGGGTTTGCAGGAGGAAGAATCAACCTTGCTGCTAAAGTGTCTTCTCAATACGTATCGTCTTTGCTCATGTGTGCTCCGTACGCTAAGGAGCCAGTCACATTGAAACTGGTGGGTGGTAAGCCCATCTCTCAGCCTTACATTGACATGACAACGGCAATGATGAGATCCTTCGGTATCGATGTGCAAAAGTCCACGACTGAGGAACACACATACCATATCCCTCAGGGCCGTTACGTGAACCCTGCCGAATACGTTATTGAAAGCGATGCTAGCTCTGCGACTTATCCTCTGGCAATTGCAGCGATTACTGGAACGACATGCACCGTTCCTAACATCGGATCCAAATCCCTCCAAGGTGATGCCCGTTTTGCCGTCGAGGTCTTGGGGCCCATGGGCTGTACCGTCAAGCAGACTGACACCTCAACCACTGTCGTCGGACCGTCCGATGGTATTCTGCGGCCGCTGCCGAACGTGGATATGGAACCTATGACCGACGCATTCCTTACCGCATCTGTTCTCGCTGCTGTTGCTCGTGGAGACGGCGCGAACCATACCACTCGTATTTATGGAATCGCAAACCAGCGTGTAAAGGAATGCAATCGTATCAAGGCCATGAAGGATGAGCTCGCCAAATTCGGCGTTGTCTGTCGGGAACACGATGATGGACTTGAGATTGACGGTATCGACCGCTCAACTCTTCGGCAGCCAGCTGGCGGTGTCTACTGCTATGACGACCACCGCGTTGCTTTCAGCTTCAGCGTACTCTCTCTAGTGGCTCCTCAGCGACCCTCATCTTAGAAAAGGAATGTGTAGGCAAGACATGGCCTGGCTGGTGGGACACTCTGAGGCTGAAGTTCTCAGCCAAGCTAGAGGGTAAAGAACTGAAAGAAGAGGAATCATCACCTCTGGCTGGTGCCGGAAGGGCCACTGCTTCAGTCTTCATAATTGGAATGCGTGGTGCCGGGAAAACCACGACTGGTCGCTGGGTCGCAAAGACCTTGAATCGTCCATTCGTGGATCTTGATACCGAATTGGAAAATGTTGAAGGTCAGACGATTCCGGAAATTGTCAAGCAGCGCGGCTGGCAAGGGTTTAGAGAGGCCGAGCTTAACCTCTTGCAACGCACTTTAAAGGAACGCTCAACTGGTTATGTTCTCGCATGTGGTGGGGGCATAGTTGAGATTCCGGAGGCCAGAAAGTTGCTCGTTGACTATCATAAGAACAAAGGCAATGTCATGCTAATTATGCGCGATATCACGCAAGTGATGGACTTCCTCAACATTGACAAGACCCGCCCCGCTTACGTTGAGGATATGATGGGCGTATGGTTACGCAGGAAGCCATGGTTCCAAGAATGTAGCAACATCCAGTATTACAGCCAGCATGCCACGGGTAAGCTCTCTAAGGCATCAGAGGATTTCACCCGTTTCTTCAATGTTGTCACCGGTGAATCGGACAGCCTGAGCATCATTAAGCGCAAGAAGCATTCCTTCTTTGTGTCTTTGACCTTGCCCGACTTGCGAACTTCTGGCGATATTTTAGAAAAGGTCTGCGTGGGATCCGACGCCGTGGAACTCCGCGTCGATTTATTGAAGGACCCATCATCGGATAATGACATCCCGTCGGTCGACTATGTGGCCGAGCAGATGGCTTACCTGCGTAGCTGCGTTTCGCTTCCGTTGATATTCACGATTCGCACTAAGAGTCAAGGCGGCCGTTTCCCTGATGAAGCGCACGATGCTGCAATGGAGCTGTACCGCCTTGCGTTCAGATCTGGAAGTGAATTTGTGGACCTCGAAATCGCTTTCCCCGACGAAATGCTGCGCACCGTCACAGAGATGAAGGGCTACTCAAAGATCATCGCATCACACCACGACCCCAAGGGGGAACTGTCATGGGCGAATATGTCGTGGATAAAGTACTACAACAAAGCTCTTGAATACGGCGACATCATCAAGCTTGTCGGTGTTTCAAAGAACCTAGATGATAATACGGCGCTCAGGAAATTTAAGATCTGGGCAGAGGAAGCACACGAGACGCCATTAATTGCTATTAACATGGGCGATAACGGACAACTCAGCCGTATCCTAAATGGCTTCATGACCCCAGTTTCTCACCCTAGCCTGCCTTTCAAGGCTGCTCCTGGCCAACTCTCTGCGACCGAAATCCGCAAAGGATTGTCCCTGATGGGAGAGATAAAGCAAAAGAAGTTCGCATTGTTTGGCACCCCCATCTCAGCCTCTCGCTCCCCGGTTCTCCATAATACACTGTTCTCCCAGACCGGCCTTCCTCACGAGTATGGCCGTTTAGAGACGGCGAACGTTGAAGACGTCAAGGACTTCATTCGGTCTCCTGATTTTGGAGGCGCTTCCGTGACAATCCCTTTGAAGTTGGACATCATGCCCCTGCTAGACGAGATCACACCAGAAGCCGAAATCATTGGCGCCGTGAACACCATCATTCCTGTCGCCAATGGAGACAAGCCAGCGCGCTTAGTGGGAACCAACACTGACTGGCAAGGAATGACCCTGTCCCTCCGTAACGCCGGTGTTGAGACTGCCAATAAGGATGTCAGTGCTCTCGTTATCGGTGGCGGTGGTACTGCCCGCGCTGCTATCTACGCCCTCCACAGCATGGGATTCTCTCCTATCTATGTTATTGGACGATCGGCCGCCAAGCTCCAGAGCATGGTCTCGACCTTCCCCTCCAGCTACAATATCCAGGTCGTCGAGAGCCTGGAGACACTAAAGACGCTTCCCTCTGTGGCCATCGGCACTATCCCTGCCGACAAGCCAATCGACCCCGTTATGCGTGAGATCCTCTGCCACATGTTTGAGCGCGCCCAAGAGGCCGATGCCGATGTGGTCAAGACAGGAGAGAAGGCACACCGTGTTCTTCTTGAGATGGCTTACAAACCATCCGTGACGGCATTGATGCAGCTGGCTTCCGATTCCGATTGGCAGACTATTCCCGGACTTGAGACTCTGGTTGGTCAGGGATGGTACCAGGTAAGCTTTAATCCGTATCCATAGTACTCTATTGAACATCAAAAACTGACTCGCTATATAGTTCAAACATTGGACTGGGATTTCTCCCCTCTATGAGGATGCAAGGGCCGCCGTGCTTGGTTCTTAGTTCTGCTTAAACGTGTCTTGGGAAGTTTTGCATTAACATTTTTCTCACAATAAAAGCACTGTCTTATACAGTATTAGATACAAAGTATTGGGAAACAAAAAATAGTGCATATGTTCAATGATGGTAGCATTTTATTTTCTATAACTATCACTCACTCGTGTATTTGGTCCTGTACTTTTCTTCAGTGGATCTGCGTTTCTTTTCCCTTGCCTCGCCTTATTATCGAGATTCCTGTACAACTCGGCTTCTATTGGAACATGACACAAAATTTAGATACAAATCTATCATGATTTCTACTTTTCGAAAAACCCAGGTCTCGTAATCAAGAAAAAGGGGTTCTGCTTTGAAAGAAAAGGAAGGAAAAGAAGAAGGATGAGGATATTTGTGTCCAAGCTAGTATAGTAGAACGGAATAACGCTTACCCCGAAGTGTTCACACTTAAACTCCAGATGGGCCTCGATTCATTTCAGATGGAAAACCCGTCCTAGGCCACAGAGGCGTACACCTGGGATTCCGCTCAATGAGCAACACGTTCAGCACAACAACAGAAGATTGAGCGGGCTCTTCTATCCGCCGGAGGTTCTGTTACCCGAGCCGGATGCTGGTTGGCGCGGTTCAGTTGGACGGATCAGTGTATAGGAAAACGTGAACCGTCAGAATCTATCACAGCAGGCTTACTACTGTAAGCCTTTACTGGGAAACGCCTCTTCAACCGCGCTGAGGACCATGTTTGAGATCGGTCAGAAAACGTTCTTGTGTAACCAGCGTAGATGTTGTTGTGGTGGGTGGACTAGCCGGACGGAGACTGATACAGAGGTGATCAGTCACCAGAAGATATGGTGAGGAGTGGCCCACAGGTATGGCCAACAAGTCGACCGGAAGTAACTTAACCAGCCATGGGCCATACTGTGATTCGATCAACCCACTCGTCGGACAGGACGACAGTAGAAATCCGCGGCTAGTCTTATGTTAGATCCAGGGATGACCTCTGATCTTAACAGCCATGACTATTCCTGCTGAATACCACTCGTAGTGCGCGCCCAATCTAACCCCCCTATCACTTTGATCATCGTTTGGACTTGACCCCTCAAGCGGGACACCGTCTCCATGATCCATTTGAGATTAGAACGGCCCGTCTCTGTGGCTATTTCACCAGTCTTCTGTTGCACAATTTCTGCGTAGTGGAACTCTCGCACCGAACTTCCCAGGAGGTCCAGGATAGCATCTACATAACCTAGAGATGAGACAACGAGTAGGCTCTTGTGTGCTCGGTCCTCTTCCTCCGACAGCCGAAATGACCCTAAGCCCAGCGGTGCATTAGAGACATACCATGTACCATTGTTGGCCACCCTGCAGAAGAGGTTTGTAAGATGCTGGAGCACGACGATGGTCATGATAAATCGGATTGAGTCTTTTGTACAGAGCGTACAGGACAGCTCTTGTCTAATTTGCTCACATGTTTGACGAGATAATTCAAGAATGGAACCCAGGACCATATGGTCAATATCATCTTGAGCCCCACTTAGCTCAGCGATGCAGAGCAGCTGTACCCTCATACACGCACATCTAGCTGAGCGAGACCGACTACCCAAGTCGAACGGGCTCGGTGGCATATTAAAGCCAGAGATTCCGGTCGAAGAACCCCACTCATCATCTGTAGAACTGCCAGAACCTAGGCCTATGCCGAGGAGCATATCTGACGACAGAGCCAGGTTGGAGGTTATAGAATCCATTGGGGTGCTGGATGGGTGGTGAACATTCAGATCAGCCTATGGGTTTCAATTTGGAGTCAGCATGAACCTTGCAGGGGGTGTGACTAGGCATACTGATACTTGCAGTAAGGAACTGTGGTTCAATCCAGTTGCAAAATAGGGCCCCGTGAAGGAGGGATCTGTATCACATGAAGACAGCCCATCGTTGGAGATAGACTGTGGAGCAGATATCGTGCTTGTGTTTGCACTTAGACCGTCGTTCATGTGCAGGTCTCTCGAGCTTCCGCGGTTATGTCTGCCGGTAGGAGTACCGCTGTAGGGAGGTGAAGCTTGAGCAGCTGGCTTTTGCACTCTGTTCGCCTTCAGCCTTCCATTCCGCATCGAAACACTGTAATGACAATTTGCACCATTGTTCCCGCAACGTTGGCATGGATTACCGCCGGTACACTTGACACGAGACTGACGACAAGCGTCGCATGCAGAGCAAAGACGGGGCGATGAACGTCGGGAAGGGGCTTCGGTGGCTTTCCAACTATTGGACAAGTGACTGGGGACTTCAGAAGAAGACACCATTGTGAGAGATATATATGTATGTATATACGTATGTATGTAGGTATATGATTAGTCTGATCTGGGGGGTGACGAGGTATCTTGATCGAGTGGAGGTTCTGGCTGGACGGCGAGCGAGTGATTGAACCTTTTATAGATCGTGACCGCTTCGAGCATCACGCTAGGCTCAAAGCTGTCGGATATATTGGTTTGACTAGGAAAATGCCTGCATGGATAGCCAGTGTATCTTCTTCTGCAGGATGGCCGCGGAATTTTCCGTTTTCTTGAATCTCCAGATTAAAACACCATCTACGTATCAGTGAACGTGATTGGCATCCAGAGACCCGCTTCCGCTCCCGTCAGGTTTCAATTGAGGTCCAGCATTCGTAAACTCTAATATCCCTCATCTGCAGGCTCATCATCTAGTGTCGACGCTAGTCCTACATCCTTTATTGGCTTCCCTTTGCCTAGGATAGTCTTAAGCTAGCCCTAATCACCGGGTAGCCGCATGCTCGTCCATAAGTAGGGACAGCGGAGCGAAGGATTCATCGTCCGGGGCCTCAATAAGAGCAACTTTGATCGACTGTGGAGGAGGGTACGAGAAAGTGGTCTGCAATAGAAGGATCTGAATCCTAGCCATCCTCGATGAAGATATGCATATCAAGGCTCCAATGAGAAGTGAAGTTGACATCGGAACTTGGAAGCAAAAGACGGCCGGAACTTGCTGGTCGCGCTAAAGGCCTCCACTAGCTTGATGCGTTTCCTTCACGCTAGAAACACATGGTACTGTGCAATCAGAATGCCCTCAGATCATAGGACATTAAATGGCTCGATCTATTTTCTGAACATGCGCCCCAAGCGGGCAAATCGTCCAAGGCCCCAGACAGGTAATTCCACTTTGTCACCCGCCGCCCTGAATTCTGGAATCGAAGGATTCAGACCCGACCCACTCGTCCGGTTGAAATCAAAGCGGTTAGCTTCTCGGCTGAAGAACAAGATGGTTTCTGGCAACGGCCCGGCCACGTCGATCAGCGGTACGCTTAACGTCGTTGGGTTTGAATAGTGCCATCCTTACCATCCCTGCCGAGCAATCACCAGATGCTACTATTTCTCGGTGTATACAAGAGCCCGTTTCAAAGGAATGCGCGATGGTTTCGGCCAAGAAGAACAAGCGAATGCATACCGGAAAAGTGGCGAAAAGGATGATAACGATGATAACAAGGGTTATGGCTTTATCACTGGACATACCCGGATAACTCTGGTCGGGTATTGCACCATACCAGTGGTCTAGGCAGTAATGGTATTCAATCATCGCAATCGATCTAGGGTGCGAAAGTCCGCGTGTACGTTAGATCGAATAGCGGATGCCTGGTGATGCGGGCTTGACGAATGGTACCGACCAGAAAGGAATTATAGAGCGCTAAAAATAAATTACAGAGGACCATCTGTGTCTTTTCATAGGCTTGTAAGCAATGACAGCTCCTCAAGTACCAGGCAGAACTGCCTTCCCTAACTGGAAAAAGATCAGCTTCAACCAGTCCGCCACTCTGTCTCCCCTATTGATGGCCTTTTCGCGCCATATTTGGGCACATCTTCGGAGAAACGAATAGGTGGAAAAATGGACTGGCGGGTTCCACTTTCCCCAGCTTTGATGTCCATCTAACTGGTACATATACTGTGTAGTCTAAAACGCAGAATGTGATTAGGGTTGTCCACGTGATTCACAGGGTCTACGTACCTTTCTGCATGTATTGTGATTAGGTAGTCTTGAATAAAGTGCCTACACTAAGTAGATCCTTTTCCTGTAGACAGCCAATGAATCTCGGGATATAGTATAGAAGCTAAGGGTCTAGGAAGGGGGAAATTCTTGGTGCTGATCGACGTTATCGGCTCCTAGGCGTGTCCGGAGCCGACGACCGTAACTGCCCATCCATCTGAAATACTCAGCTTCATCAATACTTCAAACTTTTCTAGACAGTACCGACCTCGGCCGGATGCCGGTCAATGTGGGGGGTTCAAAAGCCCATGTTCCTTGAGTAAACAAGGAATATAATAATACCTAAGGGTTCCTCCAGCAGAGGTCAACCAAAGTTCATAGTCAAGGAAGAAGCTCATACGCTCCTGTCTCACTTTCCATTTCCCATTTTGAGACAGTCTTGGGTTGAAAATCGATTAGTCTTGAACGATGTGCTAGTCGCAGCGAAAAGCCGAGGTAGGTAGATATCACTAGCAGGATTAAGCCACTAAACTCCGGCGGGTCGGTGGGACGTAAAGTTTCTCAAAGGAAGCCAAGCCATACCAGTCTGGTGTAGCTCACACGGAGGTGGATTCAGATTAGTTTTTCCTAGTGGATAGCAACTTGCAAGTATTGGAAGTTGGGAACGTGAGGAATGAAAATAAGGTTAAATGGTACCTGAAACTGAGATCTTCAGAGTCTGATTTGCAAGCGATCAACGGCTGAGGCAGCGTTCTTCTTGCCCTCTCCTTTCCAGTTTTATTCCTCAGGCCTAAACTTTTGGTTTGTTGTACCATTTTTCATTCTTCTGCTTCGATCTGATCTCAAGAACCATCAGGCCAATGGAACAGTGGAAGTAGAGCTTCACATCCAACCCGGTAGCTTCCGGTTAACCACCCCTGTACCCGGCGAAAAGGTTACCAGTTCCTAACTAATTTCGAACGCGTGCATGACTAGCTGATCGCTAATCGCTTATTAACGCTTATTATAGTCATGTTCGGTGTCGAACAATCAAAGGGATTACTGGTAGAACGAGCTGGAACGATAGTCCTTGCCATACTTGGCTCAAGGCATTGAAGCACATAAGTAGAGCGGTCAAACGAATTACCGTGAGAAAGAAAGTCCTCCCCCACGTATTTGGAGCAGGGTGGAGAATTGATCCGTAGTTGGTCACTATAGCAATGTGAAGGATGCGCGGCACATCTTGTCGATCGACTCGGTGAGAGCAAAACGGAACAGTTGCGCTTGTGGTGCTGGCAGCAGAAAACGTGGCCTTTGGCGCCATCGCTTGCTATTCCAGTAGACTAGCGCTTAGGTCCATGCCAGATAGCTTATTATCTTTAGTATATAAATAATGACGCGGATAGTCCTGTACCAAGTGCCAAGAGACAGAAGTATTTGCCTACACTCGGATTTGTTCATACGGTGAGCCAAATTTGGTCAACATGAGAGGATCAGCATGATCCCGAATTTTGCGCCCAGATCCAAGCGATCATTCTTTCTTTGTTTTTCTTTGTTTCTTTTTTTCTTTTCTTTTCTTTTTTCGCCCCTTTTTTGGGTGTCTCTTTACCCCAGAACGATGGTAGGATCCTTCAGCCCATCTTGAATAAGGGCAAGGCCTTGATCATCCAGATAGGATCACCAGGACAGATAAAACAGCTCTCGATATTGAGGGCATAGCAAACAAAAGGAAAAGGAAAAGATATAGAGCCAAGGGTAGACAAAAAGTTATTGAGCAATGTTGGAGGTTGAAGGGATGCAAATGCCATTGTAGTATGAACCTTTTCAGCTCGGGACAACATGTCGGGCCGGACACGTGAGTATGGTATACTAACGGGAATTTCCTTGTCGACGAACAACGCCAGCTTGATCAGCGTTACCTGAAGTTCGACTTGGATACGCTTGGTGATGTTGCTGCTTTCGCCGATGGGGACTCATCTCGTATCTCCAAGGAGGCTTTAGCAAGGCTCTTCTAATGAAAAAGCCAAATGCAAAGGAAGTCATTGCGAACCTTCCCTGTTGATTGCTGGACCACCGTCCCTTGCAACAACATGTGAGATAGGCTCTTGGAGTATGGTATGTATTCCTGACCATAGTTTCCCCACTTACTCACACCCTTTATACCAGTGAGGAAATATACGGACTTATCCACTCGAAGTGGGGGTCTTGATCGAGGGCCTTGTGAGTAACCCAGACTCTGCCATGTGCACAGGCTAGTGATCGCATAGAGAATACAGTATCAGATCTCGGGATATCAATTGCAATGCGAGAGCTATATCAGACCTCAAGCAAGCACCCAATCGATAAGCAGCCAACATTTAGCCGAGGAAACATTCAAGAACAAACCCAGCTTTTAGAATATGCAATGGATCTAATGCAGATGCTGGACTCACATCCAGTGTTATCCTAGTCTGTTCAGCCTACACTATGGCATAGTGACCTCCATATAGGGAATATTTTTGTTTCGCCTAAGGAGAGCTCTAGGATAGCGTCGCTAATCGATTTTCAATCTTTGTCGATCCTTCCGTTCTTTCTTCAAGCCCAGTGATCTTTGTTTCTAAAGCCTCCGCAAAACTATACAAAAGTGCTTATACAACCTAAACTCCCTGATGACTTCAGTGACGTGGACGAAGGTACAGCTGCTGCTTTACAGGAATGGTCCCAGGCCAAACTAGCAAAAGTCTACGAAGCTGCGATAATCCTTGAAGATAGAGTTGCACATAACGCCATGAATATCCCATGTGTTTTCCGAGAACTTTTCATCCGCCGTGGAGAAGTCTCTGAAGTTGTTGTTATTCCACTCCGGGTAAGCTTAGTAGAATGATTTTCAGCGAATGGTCAAGCTTGAGCTTTGCCGGACAATGTCCTTATTCATTTAGCGACAAAGAGATCGCCATACGCAAAAATCAATTTACTGAGAATTTAAGCCTGGCACGAGTTCCAACAACTCGCTCAGGAATACTTGGACACCGATACCGAAGGCTGAATCGCTCTACAACTGAATATTGATGAGCCGCGGAGGCAAAACAGGAATCTTCTATCTCTGTACAAAAAGCGAATGGCCGGAGCACAATCCCCCGACGAAGCAAGAGCGGATCATGAGCTGCATCACCCTTGTGGAGCAATTTGATAATGTAGACGCTTCTTTCCCATCATAGGTGGCTTTGAGAGAACCCGGCAAATGATTGAGACGTGTTTCCACTAAGACCTATACCGTTCCAGCTGCCTACAAAAGCCGTTCATATTTTAGACACGCGCGGGGTTATGATTAAGAACGCATCTTATTATT